CCGACCCAACCGAACGTACCCTCCGTCCCTCCTCCTCCTCCCTCCCCCTCCCCCCACCCCCCCCCTCCCCCTCCCCCCTCCGCCCTGCCTTCCAATGCGACTCACCACCGTTCCATTGCTCCAGGCGCGACATGCTACATGAACTCGCTGCTGCAGACACTGTTCATGACGCCCGAGTTCAAGGCCAAGCTGTACTCGTGGAGCTATGACGCCGAGGCAGATGGCGAGACCGAGTCGTGCATCCCGTATCAGCTGCAGAAGTTGTTTGGCAGGCTTGATCTGATGGAGAGCGAGGCTGTGGGCACTCGGGCGCTGACCCGCTCATTCGGGTGGTTTGGCAACGAGGCCTTTGAGCAGCACGATGTGCAGGAGCTCTGCCGAGTCTTGTTTGAGGCGCTCGACAAGTCGTTTCTGCATCGGATGCTGTTTGCCGGAGCCGAGGGGCCGGAGCAAGGCGACGCACCCGAGTCGGCAGCCGCGCTGGTCACCACGCTGTACGAGGGCATCATGACCGGGTACATCGACTGCCAGGCGTGCCCGTATGTGTCGGAGCGCAACGACACGTTCCAGGACATCCAGGTCCCGATCCGCGGCCTGGCGAGCATCACCGACGGCCTCGCGGCGTTTGTCGAGCCCGAACGGCTCGAGGGCGACAACCAGTACCAGTGCTCGGGATGCAATGCCAAGGTTGATGCACTCAAGGGCATGTCGATCAAGAAGCTGCCGTATCTGCTCTCGCTCCAGCTCGCCCGCTTTGACTTTGACTACATGACCATGTCGCGGGTCAAGGTCCACGACTTTGTCACCTTTCCGCAGTTTCTGGACATGGCGCCGTTCCTCGCGACGGGCGCCTCAGCGCCGGTCCGCTACCAGCTGTTCTCCATCATGATCCACGCCGGTGGCGCCATGGGCGGCCACTACTACGCGTACGTATACTCGTTTGCGCTCGGCGCGTGGTTCAATTTTAACGACTCCAAGGTCTCGCCCGCCACTCCCGAGATGCTCGCGGCGGTCGGCCTGGAAGACGCCATCGCCGAGGTCGAGCAGGTCACGCCCGGCGGCTCGGAAGAGTCGCCGGCCACCGCTTACATGCTCATGTACCGGCGGGTTGACGAGGCCCGCAACATGGCTGACGTTCCAGCGAGCGCCATCCCGGAGTTCTGCCTCGCCGACACCGCCACCGAAAACGCCGCCTACCGCGAGCATCGCGCCAAGGTCGAGCACGAGAAGAACATGCTCAAGCTGCGGGTGTACTGTGGCGACGAGTCGCCGATGCTGCGGGTCCACTCGACGCGGACGCTGCGGGCCGCGCTCGACGAGGCGCTCGATGAGCTTGACGCTGTCGACGCAAGCATCGATCGCAGCCTCGTCCGCCTCCGCGCCTTCAACCCGTTCACCAAGACGCCCGGAGCCGTGTACGACGACCGCGAGCTTGACTCGAGCCTGCAGGACCTTCTCTTCCCGGCTGTCAAGTCGCTCCTCCTTGAGGTGCGCAGTCCCGGCGAAGAGTTCCCCGACGACGGCGCAGGCGCGCTCACGCTCCAGTCTGCCACGCTCGCCGACATGGAGTCGACCGGCGCCATTGTGGAGAACGACTACGCCACCAACTTTTTCACTCCGCTCCGCCCGCTGCCGATTGCCAAGACTGCTCCGCTCTCCGCGCTCAAGGCCGCCTTTGCGGAGCAGTATCCCTACCTTGACGCGGGGAGCATCCAGCTGGTGACCATCGATCTCGCTCGCGGCACCGCGCGGGTTCTCGACGCTTCGCCGGCGGGTGATGGCGAGGACGACTCTGTTTACGGCCGCCACGGGCTCGACGACGGCTCGTGCGTGTACGCCGAGCCGCTGCCGGCGACGCCCGGCGACTCGGTCATTGTCCGCCGCTTTGAGTATGAGCAGAACCTGCTCGAGGTCAACTTTAACCTCCCGCTGGCTCCCGACGCGCCGCCGGGCGCGCAGGTCGAGTACGACCAGGTCGTCACCTTTGATCGCCGCAAGACGCTCGCCCAGCTGAAGGCCGAGGGCATTGCGCCGCTCCTTGGCCTCGGCGTCAACGAGTTCAAGCTCTGCCGAAACCTGCTCTCGAAAGAGTACAAGGACGAGGAGGCGAGCCTCGAGGCCTGCGGCATCTTTGACGGCTCGGCCGTCTACGTCGCCCTCGGCGCGCCGATGAAAATCGATGAGCACAAAATCCGGGTGTTTGTGTACGACTCTGACTACGCGCGGGTGGTGGCGCCGGCGCAGACTGAGGTCGATACGGCCGCGGCTGTGCCTGCCGCTTCACGTGGCGATGGCGGCCTCTCGTCGCGCGGCGACGTCCGCGAGGCCCGCCGCTTCTCGTCGCTCCTCGTCGAGGTCATTGTCAACCGCAGCATCACGGTCAACGACCTCCGCGCTCGCATCATCGCAGCCATGAGCCAACTCGAGGCGTCGCACCCGATGCACGTTGCGGCCATCCGCGATGTCGTCGACGGCGGTATGCACGCCCGACTCCGCGAGCGGGTCAACCACCGTGCCGGCGCGGTCCTCCTCGGCCACCTGACCCTTGCCGACGCGTTGCCGGCGCTCAAGGACCGGCACTCGCTCGCACTGCAGGTTGTACCGGTCGAGACGAAGACGAGCGAAGACCTCGTGGTCGTCCGAGTCCAGCGCTGGCTGCCGTCAACCTGGTCGGCCGAGCCAGTCCAGACCGAGATGGTTGTTCCGCTGGGCGCGAGCCTGGGCGAGCTCCGGGCGCAGGTTGCGTCGATCTCGGGTCTTGACCTCGACGTGATCCGCGTCGCCAAGCCGCTCATTGCCACCTCGCAGGCCGACCTGCAGGACGCGGTGCTCGACCTGCAGTGGGCCATGTCGGACGCGCTGGTCGTCGGCGAGTCGCCGCTCCTCCTCCGCGATGGCGTTCTCCTGCTGTACAAGGACGAGACCGAGGCCGCCATCATTCCAGACTCGGTCCTCGAGCGTCGGCCCAAAGAGTCTGGCCTCCGCATCCACACCCGATACGATGACGACTACGTCGCGCCACCGAGCGCGGGCGGGGCCAGCGAGGACAAGCCGGCAGTTGACGGCGAGGCCGAGGCCGAGGCCAAGAACGAGCTCAAGCCCGAGTCGTAGCCGCGTTCTCTACAGCACCGGGCGGCGATAAACATGAGCACACGTGCAGGTGATGTCGTAGTGGGCTGTACTGTCAGCGCAACGGCAGCTTGGACATGTTGCACATGGGCGCCACGCGCGGCGAGCGGCATCCCGGCCGTGCGGACCTCCAATCCTCAAGCCACAGACCTGCGAAGCCAATCGGCCGGCAAGTGAGAGGACTCGCTGGGTCATATACTGTCTAATGTGTACTGTGTTGTTCACTTTGAGGCGCGTAACAACGCACCCGAACGACTGTGCCGCTAAGGGTCAAGCCATCATAGAGCCCGAGCCTGAGCGCTCGGTCGCGCTGTGCTCCGAGCCTGGCAGGGTGTAGAGCGAGCTCCAGTCGTACGGCTCAGGCGCGAGGCCAAAGAACCGCTTGATGTTGAGCATTGAGCCGCCATCAAACGGGTTGGCGTACGACCGCCCGGGACCGGCGTAGAGATACGCCTTGCGGGTGAGGTTCTCGTGGATGGTGAGCCCTGTCCGCAGGTAGAGGAGCGTCGAGTACGAGAGGCGAGTCATCCAGAGCGTGTTGATGACGCCCCAAGCAAAGACGAGAAAGAGCGAGGGTGAGAGGGCGTACATGTGGGTGATGAGGCCAAAGACGTTCCACATCGAGAGCCCACGCGCCGAGTTGGTCACCGCCACCAGCGTCTGGGCCTCGAACAGATACATGAGCAGGGTGGCGGCGAGGAGGCAGGCGAGCGACGCGCCTTGGTTCCCGCCGCCGACACAGTTGTTTGCCCACGGGCAGTGGTGCGAGTACTTGGAGACACACCGCTTGCACTTGAGGCAGTGCTCCGAGCGCAACGGCTTGCGGGTCTTGCAGTGCCGGCAAAAGGCGCCCGACGACCGCCCAGCGGCGGCGTCGTCGAGCATCGAGTCAAAGTCCTCGGCAACGGCAGTAAAGCCCGGATCCGATCGCACCAGCCGCCAGTACGCGGTGCCGGCAACAATGGTGAGGACAAGGATGGCGATTGAGGAGAAGATCGACGGCGCCGCCAGCGGCAGGACAACCCGGACCCAGAGCGAGTAGCCGACAAGGACTGACGAGTGCAGGATGCCGAGGTAGGCAAAGTCCTGATTGTCGGTGGTCAGCCGCGAGCGGAGCAGGTAGACGAGACCGCCGACGAGTGGGAAGCAGACCACGAGCGCGGAGAGGAGCGAAAACCAGCCGAGGAGAGCACCGAGCGCTGGGAAGAGGGCGGCAAAGGTGCCGTAGACCACGGCCTTGTCGGTCTTGGATGAAGAGGCGATGAGGGCGTCGGCCGAGTCGGCCGAGCCGGCAACCCGGACCCAGTTGAGGTACTGTGCGAGGGTGGTGTGGTTTTTCTCCACAGCGCACGCCTCGGGCGTGCAGTCCGAGTCGTCGCGGAGCTCGAGCGAGGCACCAGCCTTGACGAGAATTTTGGCCACCTCGAGATGGTTCTTGAGCGCGGTCCAGTGCAGCGCCGAGCATCCAGTCTCGTCCTGGGCATGGATGGAGGCGCCGCGCGAGAGCAGATACTGGGCGGTCTCGGCGTGCCCACGGTAGGCAGCCCAGAGGAGCGGCGTGTGCTGGGCGTCGTCGCGCGAGTCAACGTCGAGCCCACGCTCGATGAGAAAGTGGGCGCAGAGCGTCTGCCCGTACTGCACGGCGTGGTGAAGGGCGTTGAAGCCCTGCGCGTCCGACTTGGCCAGGTCGGCCTTGCCCTCATCGAGCAGGATCTTGACCGTGTCCATGTAGCCGTGGATAGCGGCCCAGTGGAGCGGCGTCTGAAGCGAGACCGAGTTGGGCGCATTTGGATCCGCACCCTCGGCCAGCAGATACCGCACCACGGCTGTCTGGTTGTTAAGCGCCGCCCAGTGGAGCGCGGTCGCGCCCTTGGCGTCAAACGACCGCACGTCACCGCCCATGGCCACCAGCCGCTTGACCAGGTCGAGGTTACCGGCACCACAGGCCACAAACAGGTCACGGTCCGAACCGGTCAGTGCAGGCATCATACCGGCTCCGGCACTGCCATGCGAGTGCCCGTGTCCCGCGCCACCGCCGTGCGAGTGCCCGTGCCGGCACTGCTCGCCGTGCCCCGCTACCTGCTGAGGCTGCGAATGGTACGGGTTGAGTGCAGCGGGCGCGGGGCCGGGCGCAGCGGGCCCTGCCAGAGACGCCGGCGTGGGAGCAGGGTGGGGCATAGCTGCAGCCGCCATGCCCACACCCGCTCCGGTCGCCGCGGCGGAGTTGGTCGGCGGAGGGTGGTAGCCCGTGGGGCCCGAGGTCAGCTGCTCCACTGACGTGGCGCGCCCACCTAGGGCCTCCCACGACTGGGCCTCGCCGCGGCCTTTGCGTGACCACGCGGTGGACATGTGTATTGAGACGTGGGGTTGAAGGGGTGGGTGGTGGGTGGTGGGGTGGGTGGGGGTGATGGGATGGCGTGGGCTGGAGTGGTGGTGGGGGGAGGTGGCCGAAGTGTGGGCGCTTGCGACCTGCAGTACGATCGACAGCGGGGCGAGGGGGTGGGGGGGGGGCAGGCGATGATGATGGAGGGTGATCGGTGGGGATTGGTGCGTCGGTTTTGGGCTTATGACTCGATGAACTCGGGGAAACGCTCAGCGATGGGGGCAATGATGGCGTTAACGTCCTGGCAGATGGCGGCAATGCTCGAGTCCCAGGTGTCGAGGGCCGAGTCGGAGGAGAACGAGGCAAAGCCAGCGGCCTGGTCGATGGAGCCCGAGAGTGAGCCGCGCGAAATGAGTTCAGCGACGATTTCTTCGGCATCCTCGGGCGTGATGTTGAGGATGGCGCCGAGCTGGGCAAAGGCGATGGTGGTATAGAGGCCGGCGACGGCCTGGACGTTGTGCTCACGGACGGCGCGCTCGAGAATGGTGGAGCCGTCGTGGCCCTTGGCGATGTGGTGCGGCGAGAGCTGGGCCTTGAATGCCTCGATCTCCTCGGGGCGCAGGATGCGGCGTAGGTACATCTTCTCCAGAATGGAAAAGCAGTCGAGGGTCTTGGCGCGCTCGTCCTTGTAGATAAGCGCGAGCGCGCGCGAGCGCATGGGCCCGGCCTTGGCCAGCACGGCGCAAATGACCGACATGCGGAGGCAGTGGATCTTCTCCTCGGCAAGGAGGCCCCGGCACGAGAGGTCGTAGTACATCTTGAAAGCCTTGTAGAACTGGCCCGAGTAGTCGAGGACCTGCGCCCGGCACACGTTGAACAGGGTCGAGTACTGCTCGTCCTTGCACGCCGCCTGGTCCTTGAGCGCCCGATTGAGGTACGCGCCGGCCGAGATCGAGTCGGGAATCTGCAGGTACACCTGCGCAATCTTGACGTTGAGCACAAAGCGGTCGCCAGCAGGCATGCGCTCCATAGGCACCCGGGCCAGCCAAACCGCCGTCTCCTTCCACAGCTCTGCAGCCTGCAGCCGGTCAGCCATGTCCTTGGCGATCTTGCCCAGCTGCTCCACAAACGACTCTTGCCCAGCCAGCTTGCCGTGTGCTGCACTCGCCACCGCCTCGTGGACCTGGCGGTCGGTGACCTTACCCAGCTCGTTGGAGAAGACTGTGACCAGGTTGATCCGGACCACCGGCGGGCGGTCGTTCGACGTCACTGGAGAGAGAGAGAGAGAGAGGGATGTGAGTGTGGAGGGGTAGGAGGTAGGGGTAGGATGGGGTAGGGGTAGGGATGGGGACATGGCGATGGGCTTACTGAAGTCGATGAAGGTGTGCAGGGCGGTGGCGTCCGAGGCGGCGACGGCGTCGCGGAGAATGGCGGCACAGGCTTCGGTGTCGCCGCCGGTAGCGAGGAGCCTGGACTCTGTGGATGCCATGGTGTGTATTTGATGTGTGTGTGCGCACGAGAGAGAGAGAGAGAGAGAGAGAGAGTGTGTGCGTGTGTGTGCGTGTGTGTGTGGTGGTGGTGGGTGAAGTGGTGGCGAGAGGGTGGGCAGCTGGGAAAGAATGGAAGGCTGCGGTGGCGGCGGCTGGTTGCCACTCGGACCTGGAGAGGCGGCCGAGTTTTCGGGTGACCGATGCGAGTACTGCGTGTGCTGCGTGTGCTGCGTGTGCTGCGTGTACTGATGAATGATGGGTGTACGGGTGGGCAGGAGGGAGTTAGGCATCAGGGCCGCCGGGGTTGGCACCGGCCTCAAAAGCGCGGCGCATGAGGCGCGAGACGTTGAGCCGCTGGATGCCCGAGGTGCCCTCGTAGATGGAGTAGATGCGGGCGTCGCGCATGAGCTTCTCGACGGGGTACTCGGTGTTGAAGCCGTTGCCACCAAAGATGTAGCAAGCCTCGCATGCGGCGTGCATGGCGTGGTCACCGGCGTGGCGCTTGGCCATGGAGGCGTAGTAGGTCGAGGGGCGGCCCTGGTCGAGCTCCCAGGCAGCGCGGCGGGCCATGAGGCGACCGAGCTGGACGCCGGTCTCGAGGTCGGCGATGCGGAAGGCGACGTCCTGGTGGTTGAAGATCTCGGTGCCAAAGGTCTTGCGCTCGAGCGAGTACGCAAGCGCCTCGTCCTTGGCACGGTCAGCGAGGCCGACCGCGCCCGATGCAACCTCGGGGCGGGTGATGTCAAAGGCGGCCATGGCGAGCTTGAAGCCGTAACCCTCGGCGCCGACGCGGTTGGCGTCAGGCACGACAACGTCCTCAAAGGTGATGCCGCGGGTGTCCGACGCGCGCTGGCCCACGTTCACCTCCTTGCGGCCGACGTTGACACCAGGCGTGTCGCCATCGACAATAAAGCCGGTAAAGGCCGCACCGGTCCGGGCGTTGGCATCGGTACGGGCGAGGACAAAGATCCAGTTGGCGTGCCCGGCGCCGGTGATCCACATCTTGGAGCCGTTGATGACCCAGTCGTCACCCTTCTTCACCGCAGTCGTCTTGGCGCCGGCCACATCCGAGCCTGCGCCGGGCTCAGTCACCGCAAACGAGGCAATGAGCGGCTCCTCAGTCATCCGGCCGAGGTACTTCTTCTTCTGCTCGTCGGACGCACCCACAATGATCGGCGCCTCGGCCAGCGCCGGGCCCTCGATGGCGGTTCCGATGCCGGAGCACCCGTACGCCAAGTTCTCGGCAATGATGCACGACTCGACGCCGCCGAGCCCAAGCCCGCCGTACGCCTCGGGAATGTGCGGGTTCATCAGACCGAGCGCGTGCGCCTGCTTGATCTGTGACACGCAGCGGTCGTGCGGTGCATATGTGTGTCGCGTTATTGCCAGGCAGAGGCGGTTTGCGCATTGGTTTTCGGCAGAGTGAGTCTCCCTCTCCTCCCCCCCCCCCTCCCCCTCCCCCTCCCCCCCCCTCCCCCTCCCCCCTTCCTTCACCAACGTACAACCTCCCACGGGTACTCGCCGGTCTGGTCGTGCTCGGCGGCCACGGGGATGATGACCTCGCGGGCAAACTGCTTGGACATGTCGTCCAGCGCCCGCTGCTCCTCGGAGAGAGCAAAGTCGAGGCGGGCGGCGGCAGCTGCGGCAAAGCCGCGGGCGGCCTGGCCGGTGGCAGCAGCCACAGACGGCGCAGCAGTCGAGGTGAGGCTCCGGAACATAGTGGGGTAGTATTGGAGATGGGTGTGGTTGAGGCCGTCTGTCCCGCCCCCTTCCCTCCTGGCCGTAGCGAAGCTCTTGCTCGCCCTGCTCCACCACTCTGCTGGTCGCTCAACCGGTCGTCAGCCACAGAGAGAGAGGGGAGAGAGAGAGAGAGACATCGGCCGGGAGTTTGTTCATGATGTGGCCAAGACGGTCAATTACGGCAGCGCCAGCCACTGGATGACAAGAAGGCCAGCACCGAGGCCAGAGGCAAGCATGTGCCCGGCCAGAGGCTCGCCGAGCTGGTCCGGGTCTGTCGGGGCAAAGGCGACCGATTTGGCAGACTCGGCGACGGAGATCGGGGTTGGAGGCAGCGGGACGGAAAGGCGGGCGACGGCGGCTCCAGTGACGAGGCGGACAGAGTTGCTGGCGGTGTCGACAATGCTCGCGATAGCGTGATGTGCGACGCAGCCGCGGGCCGACTCGGCCGTCGCGCCCGCCACCGTCGCCGTCCGCCCACGAAAGTCGGCCAGCGCCATCACAAGGCCATCGTCGGAGACCGCCAGCTCGGCAAGAGCGGCATCGTGCTTGTACTGGCGCGACCAGTTCTTGGCGCTAAAGTCGAGGTGAACAAGGAGAACGGATCCGTTCTCTATGCCCACCAGCAGCGGCGACGCCATTCCCAGCGACGAGGCCTCGGACAGCTGCGCCGCCATGCCGGGCACAAAGTGCCGCCCGGCGCCCGAGAGAAATGTATCCTTCAGCCGCATCTGAGTCCGCAGCGTGGCGATGCTCTCGTCGGCCACCGCTGCCGCCCCCCGGCCCCCGCTCGCCTTGGGCGGGACCACAGGAAGCCAGTGCATGGTCCGGATGGGAACCGACGAGAGCTGCACAACCGCTGCCGCCTCCAGCGGCGCAGCCAGCGACCAGACCTTGACGGCGCCATCCCATCCGGCCGACGCTAGGAGCGGTGCGCCAGATCGGAACGACCGCGCAGCTACAAGGCCGGGCGACTGCAGCGGCGCCCAGTCGAGGTCCATCACTGCCTGCGCGTGCCCGGGCAGGACCACCAGCGGCTCGGCCGCCGCAGCCTCGGACAGTGACTGAATCTGGTACACGTAGATCCGTCCGTCCGTCCCACCCAGCGCCAGCAGCGCCAGTGACAGCGACGCCGCGCTCCATGCCACACACGTAAACGCCACACCGTCGACCGCAATCTCCACCAGCGGCTCGAGGGCGGCCTCGCCAGTGAGCCCTGTCGGGAGCACATACAACCTCACCCGCCCATCGCTCCCCGCCGTCGCCAGCACACCTAGCCGCCCCGGCCCGGCCGAACACGGGCAGAACGCCAGGACGCGGACAGGGCCACCGCCGACCGTCACCGTCGCCTCCCACGCCAGGCTCTCGGCCCCGCTCGCGCTCACCGCACCCACCCGCCACAGCTGCAGCTCTGCGCCGGCGCTGGCGGCTGCACTCATCGGCGCGTCCGGCGGATCCAGTCCTCCGGGCGCCACTGCAGCCACCACTACCGGTTCCAGCGGTGCCCAGGCGAGGCCGAGGACCGGCCCGCCCGTGGCGCCTGCTGCTCCGCGGCCGGCGGACGTCTCCGGCAGAACGACCGTCTCGCCAATGGCCAGCACCTCATCCACTGCCTCGCCGACCAGCACACGGACCTTAGCCGCCGTAGCTCGAGGTGATGCAGCGACTGCAGCTCGTGCCACTGACCCTGGCTTCCACTGCGGGAGCAGACACGCGCGCTTGACAGGGCGTGCCGCGGCTGGGTGCGAGGGCGAGGCCTGTGACGAGGTCCGTGGCGAGGGCGACGAGCCTGCTGACGGCGTGGCCGACGGACCAAGCTCCTCCCTGCGGCGCTTGCGTGTTTGCAAGGCCTCCATGAGAGAGGGAGAGAGGTATATATAAAATATATATATGTGTGTGTGTGTGTGTGTGTTGGGGGTGGGGGCGGTGGTGCAGTGGTGGCAGTGGTCGGCCTGGCAGCATGCCGAGTGATCGATCGGCACGGGGCCTTCTTCCGAGGCGGGCGCGGGTGTGGAGCAGGGAAAGGGTACGGCCAGCACCTCTCGTCAACGGTGCTCAGGGGCAGGAGCAGGAGCAGGATGGTAAGGTGCTCGATGGGCCAGTGGAGCAGGAGGAGGGGGGGGGGGGGGTGCAAGGGAGGAAGGGGGCGGGAAACGTAAGGGGGGGGGGGCGAGCAGCGGGAAGACTGGGAGGCCTTTTTTGGAGCTGGGCTCGGCTGGGCTTGGCTGGGGGAGGGCGTGGGTGTGGGAGGGCGTGGGTGTGGGAGGGAGGGGGGAGTGGGTGTGGATGCGGGCATGGTGGGGAGTAGGAGTATGGATGGTGGGATGGGAGCATAGGGGAAGGGGAGGGGTTGCTCCAGAGCCGGTTATGGGCGGGCGGCAGTGGTGGGTGTGGCTGACTGTGTGGCTGACTGTGTGGCTGACTGTGTGGCTGACTCGTTGTGGTGCGTGGCTGGTGTGTGTGTGTGTGTGTGCGGTGGGAAATAGGAGAAAGAGAAGGAGAAGAAGAAGCGGAAGCATAAGAAGAGCAAGCACCATGGCGAGAAGGAGAAGAGCAAGCACAAGTCCAAGTCGAAGCGCAAGGCCAAGGACGACGAGACCAAGGAGACGGGCGGGGTCGAGGCAGCCGCCGCGGCAGGCGCGTCGGGCTCTGCAGGCCTCACGGCGGTGTCCAAGGTCCGGTGGCGGAAGGGCAACTTGCTGGGCCAGGGCGCGTTCTGTTCGGTCTATCTCGGGTTGCATCTCGATACGGGCGAGCTGATGGCGGTGAAGGAGATTCTCATTTCAGAGCACAAGTCGCGGGTGAACAACGTGATCAAGGAGGTGCGGCTGCTGTCCAAGCTCGACCATCCGCACGTGGTCAAGTATCTGGGGACGGACTTTCAGGACAACGTGCTGTTTGTGTTTATGGAGTATGTGCCCGGCGGGTCCGTCGAGTCAATGCTCTCCAAGTTTGGCCCGTTCCCGGAGGACCTGACGAAGGTGTACGCGCGGCAGATCCTCACGGGGCTCGCGTACCTGCACTCGTGCAACATTCTGCACCGCGACATCAAGGGCGCCAACGTGCTTGTCTCGAACGACGGCATTGTCAAGCTCTCGGACTTTGGCGCTTCCAAGGAGATCGAAGAGCTGACGCAGGGCGAGAACATGTCGGGCACCGTGACGGGCACCCCGCTGTGGATGGCGCCCGAGGTGGTGCTGGAAAAGGGCTACGGCATGAAGTCGGATATCTACTCGTTCGGCGCAACAGTGCTGGAGATGCTCTCGGGCAAGCCGCCCAACCCGCACCTCAAGAACTTTGCGGCGTTGGTGAGGCACTGGGACCGCGAGACGCCCGTCGCCATCCCCACCAACATCTCGCCTGCCGCGCAAGACTTTCTCTCGCGCTGCCTCATGATCAACCCGGACGAGCGCCCCTCAGTCCACGAGCTGCTCGAGCACGAGTTTGTCCGCGACGTCGACGATGTCGGCACAGTCCCGCTGCCGTCGGCCGGGCCGGTGTTGGCCGAACCCGCGACGCCGTCTTCGGCGCCCAGCTCGGCCCACGGCTCCAAGGCCGTCACGCCCGTCACCTCTGGCTCTGGCACGGGCTCGGGCACAGACTCTGGCTCTGGCTCTGGCTCTGGCTCTGGCTCTGGCGAGGCCCGCGGAGCGCCAGAGTCGACCGCGGCGCCGACTTCGGCGTCGGCGTCGGCATCGGGCCCGTCCATCGCCGACTGGGGCCGCGCTGTCTTCCGCGTCCTTGTCGCCGACGCCAACGAAGCGTCACTGGCCGCCACCTCGGACGCGTTCGAGTCGTTTGGCGCCACCGTGGTCCGGGCTCTCGCCCCGCCCGACGCCTCGGCCGCTCTTGCCACCGGCGCCGCCTTTGATCTCTTCTGCATCGACGAAAAGTTCCCGGCCATGGGCGATCACGCCTTTGTCCACTCTATCTCGGGCCTTGGCCTCGCCCTCACTGTCCGCTGCAACCCGGCGCTCAAGGGTGTCAAGCTCATCTTCACTTCGGCCGACGTCAATGGCTTCAACCTGCCCAAGACGCTCAAGGCTGTTCTCCAGATGGATGCCCTCATCTCCAAGCCCATCGAAGCGTCGACTCTGTTTGACACGGTCGCCGCTCTTGTCGGCCCGGCATCCTAGTCCCCCCGCGGCTCTCCACCGAACAAAATTGTCTCGCGTGATTGTGTGGGCTGGCGGGAGGGGGAGGGGAGGGAGCGACCGAACAAATTCGGGTTTCCCCGCAGCCAGACAGAACAGCGGAGAGAGAGAGAGGGAGAGGCAGCAAAGAGTAGCTGGTGCTGGTACAGACACTCCTCTCTCTCTCTCCCCTCCTCTCCCTCCTCTCTTCGCAACACACGCACGAACAGCATGGCAGACATCACTGAGCTTCGCACCCGCTTCGAGGCGGCTGGGCAGGCCCACGTCCTGCGGTTCTATGACACGCTCGATGGTGAGGCGCAGGCAGCGCTGGCGGGCGAGCTGGCCGAGGTGGATCTGGATGTGCTGGCGCGGTTCCACTCGCGGGCCATGGCGGCGTGCGAGGAGACGTTTTCGGATCCGTCGGCCATTGCGCCGCTGCATGCTATCGAGGCCGAGGATGCTGTGGGCAAGGACCAGCTCGACACGTGGTGGGCTGGCGGGCTTGACGCCGTGGCTGCCGGCGAGGTGGCGGCCGTCCTGCTTGCCGGCGGGCAGGGGACCCGCCTCGGCTCGTCGCAGCCCAAGGGATGCTACGACATCGGCGCGCCATCGGGCAAGTCGCTCTTCCAGCTCCAGGCCGAGCGCATCGCCAAGGTCCAGGCGCTTGCCGCGGCTAAGGCCGGCAAGCCCGCCGGATCGGTGGTCATCCCGTGGTACATCATGACCTCGGCGCCGACTGACGCGCCGACTCAGGCCTTCTTTACTGACAACGAGTGGTTTGGCCTCGCCCAGGACCAGATCATGTTCTTCCAGCAGGGCACGCTCCCGTGCCTGACCGTCGACGGCAAGCTCATTCTCGAGTCGGCCGGCAAGCTCGCCCGCGCACCCGACGGCAACGGCGGCATCTACGAGGCGCTCGACAAGCGCGGCGTGCTCGCCGACATGGAGGCCCGCGGCGTCAAGTACGTCCACACGTACTGCGTCGACAACTGTCTCGCCAAGGTCGCCGACCCGGTGTTCATCGGGTACTGCGTTGCCGCAGGCGTTGGCGTCGGCGTCAAGGTCATCCCCAAGCTCGAACCGGCCGAGAAGGTTGGCGTCCTCGCTCTCCGCGACGGCGTCACACATGTCCTCGAGTACTCGGAGCTTCCCAAGGAGCTCGCTGAGGAAAGGACGGACGACGGCTCGCTCGTGTACTCGGCGGCCAACATCGTCAACCACTTTTACACCGTCGACTTTCTCAAGGCCACGGCGTCGACCTACCTTCACGACATGGTCCACCACGTGGCGCACAAGAAGATCCCGCACGTCTCGGACGACGGCTCGGAGACGATCAAGCCGACTTCCAACACCGGCATCAAGCTCGAGCTCTTCATCTTTGACGTCTTTCCCTCGGCCGGCGACTCGCTCGCTATCCTCCAGGGCGCGCGCGCCCGCGACTTTTCGCCGCTCAAGAACGCGCCGGGCACCGGCTCAGACTGCCCGGAGACCGCCCGCATGGCGCTTGCCGAGCTCCATGCCTCGTGGTTTGCTGACGCCGGCGGTGCGCTCTCGGCTCAACCCTCGCTCGACGCGCTCTTTGAGATCGCGCCCGCCGTCTCGTACGCCGGCGAGGGTCTGGAGGCCTTTTCCGGCGTCGCCGTCGACCTCCCCTACGTCATCGACGAGGCTGATCCCACGCTCAACTCGGCGTGAAGCTTGCTGCTGCGCTCGCGGCTGTAAAAAAAACGATTTGTTCCATGCATCACAAGGTCATGCCCGCAGGCTCTGGCTGGTAGACTTGTGGCGCTGCTTCTGGGCCTCGAGCGAGGCGCGGAGCGACGAGGCCGGCGCAGCCGGCGCCGGACCTGCGGCCGCGTCTGCCGGCGCGTTCTCGTTAGCGGCGGGCGCGGCGGCGAGCTTGGCGATACGAAGCTTGTCGGCGGCAGCCTTGCGCTCGGCGGCGTCGAGCATGGCGCGGAGCTGCGATGTGACGACGGCCTGGGCCTCGGCGGCCTCCATCATAGACGCGCGCTCGCGGAGAAGGTCGGCGACGCGCCCGGAGAGCTGGTCGATGCGGGTATGAGCGCGCGCAAGCTGGGCCTCGAGGTCCTTGCGCGCGGCGCTAAACTCGTCGGCGGTGGCTGACGCTGCCGCGCGCCATTTTGCGGTGAGCGCCTTTTGGGCAGCGACGAGCTCCTGTGCCTCGAGCGCGTGGTCATCGAGGTTGCGCTGTGCGAGGCGGAGCGCGTGCTCGAGATCGCCGACAGCGGCCTGCGACGAGCGCTCGAGGGTGGCAAGCTGGGTGGCGGCACGGCGCTCGGTTCGGGCGGCGGCGTCCTGGGCGAGCTTGACCTGCTCGGCCATGGCGTTGCGGGACTCGAGCGCAGTGACGCGCTCGTCGTGAGCGGCGAGAGACTCGGACTCGAGATGGCGGATGCGCTTGGATGCCTCTGTCAGCTGGGTCTCAAGCGTGGCGCGCTCGCGGGCCCACTCGGCTTCCTTGCGGCGGTGCTTGTTCCGCGCAGACTCGGCTGTGGCGTCGGCGTCGGCAGCAGCGCGCTGGGCGGTCCGCAGCGCACCAGTGAGCTCCTCTTCACGCTCGCGAGCGCGCCGGCGGCCGGCTGTCGATTGGATCGCCTCGAGCTCGGCTTCGAACCGCTTGGCTTCGCGGGCGAGGCGCTCAGACTCGGCAGAGAGCTTGATGTTGGCATCCTGGGCAGCTCCGAGCTCACGGGATGTCTTCTCCAGCTCGGCCTCCCAGCGCGCGCGCTCGGCAGCGAGCAAGGCGGCATGGTCGGCCGACTCGCCGGCCATAGCGGCGGCGAGGGAGGTCTGGCAGCTCTCAAGGCTGGCCTCGGCATGTTGAGCGCGGAGGAGGGCGCGGTCGCGCTCGGAGCGGACCTCGTCGAGTGCGTCGAGCGCCTGCTTGACACGAAGGTAGGCTTCGTCGAGGTCGCGCTGCGAGGTCTCGAGCCTGCGCTCGAGCGAGTGCATGGCGGTCACAACCTCGTCGCGCTCCTGGACGAGCGCGTGCTCGCGCTGGGTGGCGCGGGCGTTGGCAGCCTCAAGCGACCGCTCAAGGTCAGTGATCTTGGAGCGGAGAACGGCCGAGGCCTGGACGGCGTCGGCGGCGGCCGAGGCTTCGGAGACAAGCGCAGCCTGCTGGGCAGCGAGCGAGTCGACGGCATCCTTGTACTCGGCGGTCTGGAGCTTGGCACGAGCGACTGTCTCCTCGAGCGCCGAGTTTGCGGCGCGGGCCGAGGCAGCCTCCTGCTCACGGAGCTCGAGTTCGGAGCTCTTCCGGTCGAGCTCGTCTTGCAGGGCGGCAGCACGGGCGCTGGCCTCGGCGGCGACCGCGGTCGCTTCGTCGAGCGAGGCAGCCATTCGCTGCAGCTGCGTCGAGCTCGACGAGCTGGAGCTACGAGTCGAGTCGAGCTCAGTGCGGAGCGCGTCGACTTCGCCCTGCAGCACCGAGACCTGCGACATGAGGATGTTGTTCTCCTCCTGGTACAGGCCGATGCGGTCGTGCATTTCGGCGAGCTCCTCGGCGTCCGACGGAGTGAGACCTGCAGCAGCGACAGCGAGGCCCGAGCCGGAGGCCGCGGCGTCGGACGCGCGACTATGCAGGGCCTCCAGCGCGCGGTCTAGCTCGGCGCGGAGTGAAGAATTCTCGGATGCCAGAGTGGCAATGTTGGTGCGGGCAGCCGTGAGCTGCTCCTCCCGCACGCGGGCGGTCTCCTGCAGTGCGTCCACGTGGGTGTCGTACGACACAATAAGCGGCGCCACTAGCGCGCGATCGGTCCACCATGCCGGAACCGGTGTGTCATCAGGAAGGCTTCCGCCGCGACCGCCAGCAGCGCCGGCAGCCTCGGCCTCGGCAACGAGGACAGCAGCCTCGGCCGGGTCAAGCACGGTGCCCTGCTCGCGAGCCAGCTCGACGCTCAGCCTTGCGGCATAGTCACGGAGAAAGGCAGCATCACCAGCAGAGGTGTCGACAGGCGGCGGTGGCGAGGAGGCACGGCGCGGCGGCGAGGGCGAGGGTGACAGAGGGGGCTGGTCGCGGCGAGCCGAGGCTGAGGCCGAGGCGGCATGGTCGGCATGGTCGGCATGGTCGATGTGGCTGGCATCATCCTCGGCAGGGCCTGCCGAACGGGAGAGCGAGCCAGACTCGTAGGGGATGCGGTAGGACGAACCGTCGCGGGTCCGGTGACGGCGGTGGCGGCGGTGGCGTCGCTTGGCGGACCTGCGGGAGGCCGACGAGCCAGTGGCGTGAGCGGCGGCGGCGGTGGCGGCAGAGGGCGGCGGCGGAAGTTCCCTGCCGCGTTCACTGCGGCGGGGCTGTGTCCCTGCCATGTTTGCGTGCGAGTGTGTATGTGTGTGTATGTGTGTGTATGTGTGTGTATGTGTGTGTATGTGTGTGTATGTGTGTGTATGTGTGTGCGCGAGTGTGGTGGTGGTGGGCTGTGTGGGTGGCTGGCAGTTGGGCGCTGGCTCGTTGGCTTGGCGCGAAAGTGGCTGCTCGCCTGGAGATGATCAATGTGGTGCTGTGCTGTGACAAGGTCAGCGTAGCGAGTGGCTTTGACCGCGCTCACGCCTTCCTGCTTCACCAAGTCATGGACTGCTCGCTCATCATCGGGCTTTGTCATGCCATCCAAGTCCTTGATCCAGTCATGGTTGCATGCACTCGGCAGCGACTAGCCTCGCACCATGCTCCAAAAAAGGATTAAAACGCGCAGCGAGCCGCAATTGCCGCAACCCTTTGCAGAGAACCCCACTCCCCTCCCCCCCCACCACCTCTACCCCAACCGGGGTGGCACCACGCCGAACACCCCAATCCCCCAACCCCCACCCACATGCTCTTCGCCGTGACTCTTCTCTTCCTCTCCGCGGCCCTCTTCCCCCCTCCACGACTGCCGCCCCCGCCTACACCACCGCCCTCCCTGTCACTAATGTGGGTGTCACGGTCGGGTATGGCCTCCTTGTGGCCGAGCCGGGCGATTTCAACAAGGATGGACTGGTCGACTTTGTGTCGTGTGAATACTCCACCTCTGGGGATGAGCTTCGCATGACCACGCAAGGGCCGCTGGGCATCTGGTCGGCGTTGTTCAACGTCCGTCCGGCGCCGGCGCACACGGGCGATAGGTGCCGCGCGATGCGGGTCGGCGATCTCAATGGCGACTCGTATCTCGACTTTGTGGTGGCGAACGAGTTCGTCTCAGGTTCGGGCACGGGTGCCCTCAATGTATACCTCAACGAGGCATCATCCGGCACAACGTTCACCTTTGCGCAGCAGCTGTTAGGCATCCACAAGGTCGAACAGATGTACCTCGCCGATTTGAACGGCGACTCGTACCTCGACGTTGTGCTTTTTCGCACGACAATGTCGTTCATCTACACGGCGTTCAACTTGGGCCCGGCATCGTACGCGTTCTCGGGCCTTTCGCCCATTCTTGCCGTCTCGTCGGTGCGTGGCGGCGACGTCGGCGACTACGACGCGGACGGCGATCTCGACATTCTCTACTGTTCTTCCGGCGACTTTCGCGTCGTTGTCAACACGGGTGCCGGTGTGTGGGACGCGACGCATCTTGACTTTCTCGGCCAGAAAGGCTCCGAGTTTTGCTCGTTTGTGGTTGCCAAAGGCACCGACGAGCTGGCCGTTGCTACCGCCAACTTTGGCGGAACGCCGTTCACTTTTGGGCCACCAGACTACGCCGTGGGTGTGACGGGCGGCGGGACCCTTCATACTGGCCCGGACCCGGGCCAGTCGCAGCGGAAGGATTTCAATGTCGACGGCGTCGACGATCTCGTGATGGCGCCCCGCGGCTCCCTCGCCCAGCAGGTCGTTCTTGGGCGGGACTTTGGAGGCTTCTTCCCCCCGCTCACCTTCACCAATTCCCTGCTGTATGATTCTGAGTGGGTTTCCACGGCTGACATCGATAACGACGGCCTCCCCGACTTTATTGCCACCACGCATGGCGGATCAGGCGGTGCCGGCATCCGCATCGTGTCGCGCTCGCGCTGGACGCAAACCATGGATGGCCCAGTGGCTACACTCGGCGCTGCCGGTGGGCTTGGCATCGAGACCCACCTCGTCGCGATGGCCGCCGTTGACTTGGACAACGACGGCACGCCGGGCCTACTCACGCTTGCGCCGTCGGGCGAGGTCTACTTTCTGCCGGCCGCCAGCGCCACGCCGCGCCTCATCGGCGCTTCGGCTGCTGTCGGCGCGGCGTCGGCTCTGGTCGTGGCCGATTTCACGGCAGACGCTGCCCTCGACATCGCCACAGGCTCGCTCGCCTCGGGCACGGCATCCCTCTTTGTTGCTGCGGGCGACAACACGTTTTCAGTGGTGAGCGTAGCCACGCCGGATGTGTCAATCGTGTCACTGGCAGCGGCATCGGTCAACGGCGACGCGCGCCCCGACCTCGTCATCGCGTCGCCGTCCGCCATCTACGTCCTCGCTCGCGCCGACGCCTCCTCGTTTGCCGCTCCCGTAACTGCCGTCACGGGCCTGACCGACGTCACAGCGCTTGCTGTGCTCTCACACCCCGCGTCGCACCCGCGCACCCCCGCCCTTGTGTACACCACGCTCTCCTCGCTCGCGGTGGCGCTGCCCAGTGCCGACATGGCGTGGGGTGCGCCGACGGCCATCGTGGCCCCAGCCGCTCACGGCGCGAACCGCCTTGTGGTGCGCGACCTCGATGCCGATGGCTACCCCGACGTGTTGTTTGTGGCCGACGCGCTCGTATCGTACGTGCTCAGCACGAGCGCGCCGGGTACGTTTGGCGCTGTGCCGGGTACACCCGTGGCCTCGCTCGCGGGCCCGATCACCGACGTGGCCGTGGTCTTCTCCAAGCCGGCAGCGTTTGGCGACGTGATAGTGGCCACCGTCGATAGCGTGCGGGCGTTCATGACCGCCGATTGCGGGGCGTCGTGGGATGAGACGCTGGTTGCTGCGTATCCCGAGCACGCGCGCAACGTCAGCGGGCTCGCCGTTTACGACGCCAACAGCGACGGGTACGCCGATATAGGCGTGTTTGCGGGTACTGACGGGTTTGTGTTCTACGCCTCGGTCCCGTCGTACAACACGCATCCCTCCACCACCTTTTACGCGCTCGACCATCCCGAGTGTGGGGGCGTGCCCGGTACCGTGGCGTGCTTGCGCGCAGCGCTGGCGCACTCTGGTGACGGAACTGTGACCACATTCTGTGTCCCGCCGTCTGTGGGCACTTTCGTGCACTGTCCATCGGCGGCGCTTGGGGACGTGGCGTTCCCTGTGACCCAGCGTCTCACGCTTGTGGACGCCACAATCGACTGCACGATTGCTGGCGGATCCAGTGGAGCCTTGTTTGCGGTGTATTCATCGCTGACACTCCGCAACGTGACGATTGTGGGGGCGTCGCCGCGTGCGGCATCGCCTGCAGCCATCGTGGTCGCTGCGGACGCGTCGTTCACGGCGGTATCGCTGCACATGAGCGCCGGGCCAGACGTTGCGTCGACGTCGCTGCTGGGCGGGTTTGGCGGGTGCGTTCTGGCGCTGGACAGGGCGTCGATCACGGTGCGCGACTCGTACTTTGGCGGCAACACGGCCGGGGCGGCGGGCGGCGTGCTGGCTCTCTCTGGCTCGGCCGTCACGCTCTCGGTCGATTCAACAGTGTTCGAGGGCAACACGGCGGTTGGCGATGGCGGAGCCATGTACACGACGGGCGCCGGCCACTCGCTGGCGTTCACGGCGTTCACGGTTTCTGGCCAACTCGGCCGGCCGATCCGGCGGCGCAGTGAGCCTGACGGGCGTGTGGGCAGCGGCGACGTTTACGGGCGGTGCGTGGCGAGCCAACGTGGCATTGGCGGGCGGCGCGCTCGCTCGCTCCGGCAATGGACCGGTCACTGTGAGTGGCACAGTGCTGGACGCCAACAGTGCGTCGCTGGGCGGCACGTTCTGTGCGACGGCCGCGCCCGTGATCGATCTGGAGTCGGCACTGTTGGTGGAGAGCGCGGAGTTCCCTGCGTCGACGCTCATGGTGTCGGGCGCTCTCATAACGTCCGCTGGAGCATACGGCGGCATTGCACATATTTGCAGCGTGGCGCTCGACGTCTCGGGTGTGGACATGAGTTCGGCGACAACGTCAGCATCGGGCGGCGGAGGGTACGTGTACGTGTGCGGCCCGGGGCTCACGCAGTACGGGCATGTGACGCACCCGAGCGTGCTGCCGGTGTCGTCAGTGGCAACACCCGGCGGCTATGGTGTCGTGGTTGCCGGCCCGCCGCAGAACGCAACGGTGGCCGGTCTGCCGACGTCGGCTATCTCGGGCGTTCCCCTCGGCTTGGGCACGCTTACGCTTCGTGATGCATGGGGCGCCGTGGTGAGCAACCCGTTCATTCGCATCGGCGTTTCGCCGCTTTCGGCCACGGGCGACATTGAGGTGTCGGGTATGTCGCTCGGCGCGCTCTACGACGAGTCGCTTACTGGCTACTCGCTGGGTGCCATCACGCTTGCTGTGGGTTCGTGGCCAGAGGACGTGGGTTCGAGTGCGACGTTGGCCATTGTCGAGTTTGTGGACGCGGAGGTGGAGTATGCGCGCGTGACGGTGGCGGTCGGGGCGTGTCCGCGCGACTATGGGCGTACTTCTGCCTCTACGGCGCCGCTGGTGTGTGCCGAGTGTGGCCCGAACGGGTTCTCGACGGAGACGTCGACTGAGCCGTGCGGCATCGTGCCCACATGCCCGGACGGGTTTGTGGTCATCGACGGCAAGTGCGTCACATGCCCGGGTAACACGGTTCGTGTGGCCAACACGAGCGCCGAGATGGGCACCGTGGCGCCGTGTGTGTGCGAGCGCGGTTTCTACTCGCCGACGGGTGCGGCCGACGTTGCGTGCGTAGCATGCCCGCCCGGCGGCGTGTGCGCCGGCGGGACTGACGCACCCGTAGCGGCGCCCGAGTACTACCCGACGGGGCCGGCCCAGTTCTCCGAGTGTCCCATCGAGCGCTCGTGCTTGGGCGGGCGCCAGTGTGCGCGCGAGTACGCTCCGGGTGAGTTTATGTGCGTGGCGTGCGCTCAGAACCACTACCGCAAGCCGGACGGGACGTGCGACGCATGTCCTGGAGCGTCGACGTCGCTCTTTGTCCTCTTCTGCCTCCTGGTGGTGGGCGCCGCTGTACTCTCGTTTGTGCTTGTGCTCGTCGCCATCATCCAGTTCCAGCGTGTCGGCGCGAGCGCGGGGCGAAAGAAGCTGCTGCCGCACTCGATCGGTGTCGCCGTCACGTTTCTGCAGGTGCTCGCGGTGCTAGGTCGCGCGGCGTTCAAGTGGCCGACGCCACCGGTGCAGCAGGTGATGGACTCCGTGGCGTTTGCCACGTTTGACCTCTCGCTCTTCTCGACCGACTGCACAGTGACGTCGTTCCCGATGCGGTACGCGCTCTCTGTGGGCTTACCGACCGCGTTCTTCGCGCTCATTGTGGCCCTCGTTGTGGGGTTCAAAACGTGCCGCTGCTCGTGCCGTGGCAAGATCGACATGACGCGCGTCTCGGTGCGTGCGCTCCTCTACCGCCTCATCTTCTCGTTCGGCCCCATTGTGTACCTCCCGCTCGCGCGTGCCACGCTACTCTTCTGGGACTGCACACAGCTGCCCGACGGGTCGTACCGCCTCGACTCGTCGCTCGACGAAGAATGCTACGGGGCGATGTGGCTGCAGCTCCTCCCGCTGGCGCTGACGGCGCTTGCCGTGTACGTGGTGGCGCTGCCGCTCTCGTTCGGCTTGGTGCTGTGGAAGAACCGGCACGAACTCGACAGCACCCGCGTGCAGCTTGCTTACGGCCCGTTGTTCACGGCGTACCGGCGCGCGCACTATATGCACGAAGTGGTGCGCCTCCTCAAGCGGCTGGCGGTGGTGTGCGTGGCGCTCTACGCGTCCAACCTCGAGCACCTGTTGTTTGCGGGTTTTTTTGCCATCTTTCTCTCCTCGCTCGTATATCAGCTCTACAACGCCCCGTTTTTTGACCCACTCCACAACACGCTTGAGGCCAAGCTGGACGGGTCGATTCTTGCGCTTTGCGCCGCCGGCGTGCTCTTCTGGTCGACGTCGGGACGGAGCATTTCACAGGCCTCGTACATCTCCCTCGTGGTGGCCACCCTCGCTGTGCTCTTTGGCACCATCGTCGTCATTGCGTACGCCGTGGTCTCGGAACTCATGAAGCTGAGCTTCAAGCGGGCGCGCGGGTTGACTTCGACGGTGCAAGCGCACCCAACGCCCAGGCCACGGTGGTTCGCCGGTTTGTGGCATCGCACGTCGCCGACATCGACTCGCCGTCGCTGCGAGATCGGTTGTACGCCGTAGTCGCATGGTTTTCCACTCGAGGCGAGTGCGACGATGACGATGATGTCGATTTGGGAGCCGCCGACGTCACGTGGGTGCCTGGCCTTACATCGTCGGACGCCAGCGCAGATGCGAGTAGATCGTCATCGAGTGGAGCGACAAAGGCGTCGGTATCGGCATCTTTATTGTCGGCATCATCGTCGATGGGTTTGCCTGTTGACGACATCGAGAGCGCCTCCAACTCGTCGCGCCACACCCTCGCCCGTCTCAAGCGCAACCATCGGCCGTTCGGCCGGCGTAGCTCGCGGACCTCGATCTCATCGCGACGGGAATGAGTAAACTCGACTTTACCAATCGTCGCATTTGTTGATGATGGCGTCAGCGTCGAGGGTGCCTGCCGGCTCTTTGTTGTTGCCGTTGTCTGCGAGGCCGGCGAGAAGGGCTATGACCTCGTCATCTTGATCAGCAGAAGATGCCTCTGCATCGTCGTCATCCGAGTCGGCGCTCCCATCCAGGCCCGTGAGCGACGCAGCAATTGCTTGTCGGCGTCTGGCACGTTGACCGAGTCTCCATCATCGTCAGTGTCGGCGGCGACCGGAAGCACCACCAGGTCCGCAGTGTCTAGGTCGTCGTCGTCGCCGCCGCCGCCAGCTGGGGCGGTTTTTGGCGGCGGTGCGACAGCCCGGTTTGGGCGAGCGGCGGGTGGCGGGCGACGGGCGGAGGCAGCTCACGCTGTCGCGGCCTGCGGTGGGTTGCTGCATGGAACTCGATGTAGCGGCACTGCGGGTGGTTGAGCGGCTGGTTCTACGGCCGCATGCGGCCACACTCCGAGTTGTTGACAAGGGCAGTGGCGCAGAGCTGGTGCTCAAGACGTCGTGGGCGCCTGCGGCTGGGGCTGCGGCGGCAGCCGAGGCCGAGCTCTTTGCCTGCGCCGATGCGTACTCGCCGCATCTGCTGCCGTGCGCCGGTGCTGTGCGCAATCCGGCCGGCCCGGGCCTCGCTCTGGTATACCGCTACCTTCCCGGCGGCTCGCTCGACGCCGCTGCTTCATCGGCGGCATCTGCGCTCGCTGCTGCGTCCGCCGTCGGCTCGGCGCTCGCTGCTCTGCACGCGGCCCAGGAGTCCGGATGGTGGTCGGAGCCGATTGTCCACGGCGACGTCAAGCCGGCCAATGTGCTGGTGGATGCCGATGGCACCATGATCCTTGCTGACTATGGCGTGTCTTCGCCGGTCCGCGCCGCGCGCGCCGATGCAGGCGCCGACGTGGCTGGCTTTGCCGGCTCGCCGGCGTATGCCTCGCCGCACGCCACCGCCGGCTACCCGCCCTCGCCGGCCGATGACATGTGGTCACTTGGCGTCGTACTTTATCAGCTTGCCCTCGGCTGCCTGCCGGACTTTGATGTTGCGACAGGCGCGCTGCTTCGCGGGCTGCCGGACTTTTGCGCCGCGCCGGGCGCGAGCCAGGCTGATGCTGAGACCCTCCGCGCACTCGTCGCCGGCCTGCTCACCCTAGATCCCGCCGAGCGGCTGACTGCAGCCGAGACGCTTGCGCTGCTTGGTATTAATCCGCCGCCGGCAGCGCCGCCACAAGCTGCGCCGTCGCCAACACAACCGGCGCCGGCTGCACCCGCCCCAGCTGCGCCGTCGCGAGCTGCGCCGCCTCCGGCTGTGCTCCCCTCCTCCACCCGCGAGCGACCACGCGGACGGATCAAGGTGGCCGGGCGGTCGTCGTCGTCGCTCTCGGCCGAGGAGCTGGCGATGATAACCAAAGTGCCACGATGAGAACAGTTTACATGGGGTAGCGCAGGTGGTGGGCAGTCGGTTCAGAGGAGCGAGCGGCGGGCGCGACGACGACGCGGAGCGGCAAAGTCCTCGTCGGCGTGGTCGTCGACAATGTCGTCGTCGGCTGGCGGGAGGCCGACGCCGCCGGCAGGGTCGCCGACAGGTGGTGTAGGCGAAGGCGCGTCGAGGGCCTCAAGGGTGAGCGGGGCGGTGGTGGATGACGGCGAGGTGCGAGCCGAGTTCTTGCGGGCCTTGGACGGCGGGGTGACGAGGAGGTCGCTCGAGAGGTTGGACGACTTGCGGGCACGCTTGGACTTGCGCTTCGCGCCTAGGACGGGGACGACCGAAGTGTGGTCTTCTGTCAGTGAGGCGATGGTGATCTTCCCGTGCGAGGCCTTGCGCGACGAGCGCTTGGTCTTGTTGCTCTTCTTGGCCTTGGCCTTGGCCGACGCAGGCTTTGCGGGCGGCGGAACCGAGGCGCCGAGCTTGGCACGGAGCTTGTTGTACATGTCGATGTCCTCCTTGGCGAAAATGAGGTTTTTCTCGAGCGCCTTAAAGTTGGCCTCGAGGAACTTGAGGACCTCAGCCTTTTGGTCGGCGTTGAGGCGCGAGGAAAAGGAGGCGAGACCGTCCAAGAGGGCAAAGTTGGTGGGCGCGTCGGCGAGCGCGGCCGGGATGCCGAGGGCAAAGATCTGCTGGACAACGAGGATAGCGTCCTTGGTGTCTGCGGCGAGCTTGGTGGCGAGACGGCGGATCGGGGCGCGGAGGGAGTCAGATGCGGTGAGGCGGCGGGTCTGACCCTTGGGCAGGAGCTTGGCGTGCTCCTCGGCGTCGGCCAGCTTGAACTTGAGGGCCTCGATGAGCGGCTCGGCGACGGCGGCGGAGAGACGCGTAACCATGCGCTTGACCATGCCGCCGATGACGGGCGCAAAGAGCCGATCGTGCTCCTGGTAGTGGGTGACGAGGTGGGCGGCGTAGGCCGTGTCGAGGCCACCAAAGGCAAAGCCACGGACAAGAGCACCAAGGGTGGCGTCGGTTGCGTCGTAGACGGCGCCGAGGACGTCATCGGGCACCGACTCGTCGGCGTACGCGTTCTCGTACGCCTCAAACAGCTGCTCCATGAACGACACCATGTCGGCCTGCAGCGGGGTCGACAGCGGGGTGGCGAGCGGCGCGAGCGCTGTCTCGCCGAGGCGCGGCGCAAAGAGGAGCGCGGCATCGACCGCCACGCCGACGGCTGTGCAGAGCGTCGGTAGGTAGTCGGTCGGCCCGAGCTTGACGGCGGCTGACGGGAGGAGGAGGCTCTCGACGGCGCGGACAAGGCCGGCGTAGGCCTCGAGCACTGCAGCCACCTCGGTCTTGACGCCGAGGATCGATTCCTCGGGCACGGTCTCGCCGGCGCTCTCTTTGGCGGCGAGCGCAACGAGCGGCTCCTCGACGCGGGCACGGGCCCAGGCGGCGTGACCAAAGAGAATGCGGAGGGCGGCGTCGAGGGCGGCCGGCGAGTAGCAGTCGGCGACGGATGCCGGATCGGCGGCGGCGGCGAGGGCGGCGACGGCGACGTCGATAAAGGCGGCGGCGGCGTCGACGAGGGGCGCGGCGTCGTGGAGCGAGAGGTCGTGGGCGGTGGCAAAGGCGGCGGCACGTTGGAGGGCGAGGGCTAGGGTGCGCAGATTGTCACGGCCGGCGGCCGAGGCCGGATCGGGCATGCTTCCGCCGGCGCGGGCGTTGTCGACGGACTCAACCATGGCGTACAGGTCCTGAGCGAGCGCGTTCTCGACCTTGGTCGTCAGTTGTGGGGCGGCGGCGAGGAGGGTGCCGTAGAGGCCGGCGACCTGGGCAAAGACCTCAGGCTCGGCCGAGGCAAAGAGGAGCTTGTGGGCGGCGGCGAGGCAGGCGTCAAAGGCGTCGCGGAGCGAGTCGTCGGCAGCGACATCGGAGAGGTCCATGACCTCGACGAGCTCGAGAAGGAGGGCCAGCTGCGGCGGCTTGCCGGCAAAGAGCGCAAAGAGATCGGTCATGCGCGGGAGAAAGGTGGTGCGGATGGCGGCGGCGGCGGCGGCGGCGGCCGAGGCCGACACATGCGCCGGCTCGTTGGGAATGACCGAGCCGCCGGTGGCGAGGCGGGCGCAGGCTGCGAGGACGCGGACGAGGAGGTCCTGCTCGGCGGCGTGGGTGCCCGGGTCGACGTTCGACGCCGGCTCTTCCTGGAGTAGGTCGAGCATGACGGGCCAGGCGGTGAGGCACGGGGCGTGCTTGAAGAGGGCGTCAACAATGTAGACCGGGTTCTGCGCCTGGTAGCTAAAGTTGAGGACAAACTGGACAAAACCGCGGACGCGGGCCTTGTCGACTTCGTCGTCCGACTGGCCGGGCAGAAGCTGCGAGGCGATGATGATGTCAAAGAGGTGCTTGCGGACAAAGTGCGCGGCCTCGGTGCGGATCTTGCGGTTCTCAACCGAGATGTAAAAGTAGACGGCGTCGATGTCCGACTGCTCGAGCATCGAGGTCTCGAGGAGCGCGGACAGCGTGCCGAGGGCTTCGACGGCAACGTTGACCGACGAGTCCTTGGCCATCTCAAGGATGCGTCCGCGGAAGCGCTCTGTGAACGACGAGAGGGCAGTGATGGCGTTGGAATCGTCATAGAGGCCGCGGAGCGCCTTGAGCGCGGCCAGCCGCACGTTGGCGTCCTTGTCCGACAGCGTCCACCCGAGGTACTTGAGGTACGACGGCTCGAGGAAGATCTTGGGGTAGCCGGCAATCCACTCGCCGAGAGCGGCGATTGACTTGGCGCGGAGGAGGCCGACCGAGTCGCGGTAGCGGTGGACAAAGATGGTGGAGAAGAGCGACTTGAGGAAGGACTCGGCGCGAGCGACGTTGATCTTGAGGGTCGCGATGCGGTTCTTGAGCATGTCAATGCGCGAGGCCATGTTGCGCGAGCCGCGTGACGACCGGCGCTTTCCGACGGCGGACTCTTCGTCCATGGGCGTCGGCGAGTCATCGTCATCATCATCGTCGTCGTCGTCGTCGCCGTCGGACCCGGCAGCAGTGGCTTGTTTGGCAAAGGTGAGCATCTGCCGCTCGGCAAGCGAGAGCTGGCGGAGACCGGCCTGGGCCACGCCCATCAGCGGCGCCATGATGGCGTAGGCAGTGATGGTGGCGGTGTGGCGGAAGGCGCGGACGGTGCACGAGGACATGGCGGTAATCCAGCGGAGGAGGGTGGCGAAAACATCCTCGGCCGGGAGAAGCGAGTTGGCGGCGAGGTTGATGAGCTCGGCCCAAAAGGCCTCGAGCCGCGGGCCGAACTTGACCTTTTTCTTCAGATCGGGGTTGACGAGCGGGTACGTCGGATGGGTAAACTCCTTGACGATGGCGGCAAGCAGCGGGTCGAGGTCCTCGGTGAGGACCTGCGTTGTTGAGAGCAGGATCGTCGAGCCGGTGCAGTGGAGGACAAAGTTGACGAGCGCGGCGAGGCCGTCGTCGGCCGACTCGTCAAACGTCTCCATCCACGACGCCACAAGATCCACGACCTTGGTCTTCTTGTCGACCAGACCGGTAAATATGAGCGACATGCCTTCGAGCTCCGGCGGGAGCTGGTCTTCGCCCGCGGACGCTGCCTTGGCCGGCGCGGGCGAGGGCGAGGGCGATGCCGAGCGCGCGTTGGCCACGTTCTCCTTCTCCACCGCCATGGGTACCGGCGACGCGGCCGAAGCAGCCGTCGACGTGCGGCGCGACCGGCGTCTGGACATGCCCCGTGCGGTTGTGAGTATGGGTGTCGAGTGCGTGCCTCTGGCGGTCCCCGCTTTGCGACGCCTGCAACGCTGTGCCTGCGCCGTCGGCTACGATGACGACTCGGTCCGGGAATCTACCGCCAGCCCAAAAACCAATTCACGACCTTTTTCGGCACCCGGCGACGTGGGAGCGGCGGGATGGAGTGGAGGGGTAGGCATATGACGTACGGCATGGTGGGCGACTGGGTGCGAGCGGTGGGTGGTGGTGGGGTGTTGTGTGGAGTGTGGAGGACGGGTGTGACGGGCGGGTGAGATAGGTGTGGGTGTGGACGAGGTTGTGTGGGTGTGGTTGGCGTGGTGGAGGGTGGCTCGCAGGGCTGTGATCGCGATCAAGCGGTTGGCGGATGGCGGGTGACGGGTGGCGGACGTTGGCAGACATTGGTGTTTGCGTCTGACGACGACGACGACGGCGACGGCGACGACGACACACTGCACTGGCTGCTCACAGTCGCGGGAAGACAGCAGGTCGAGGAGACATGTCCGACGACGAGCTGCTGCTGTCTGACAGCGACGAGTTGGAGCTGGAGCTGGGGCTGGGGTTGGAGCTGTCCGACGACGACGAGCTCGAGCTCGGCCTCGGCGACGACGACCACGACGACGGACTCGGGCTGGGCGAGCTGGAGCTGAGCGACGACGACGAGGTGCTGGACCTGGGGCTCTCGTCGGGCGAGGGCGACGAGGCGAAGAATCCGGAGCTGGACGCCCTGCTCGCCGAGTCTGACGAGGTTGACGGCTCGGTCGGCTCGTCGGTCCAGCTCTCGGACGGCATGTCCGCACTCGTTGGTGGTTCCGACAACAGCCTCAACAACTTACTGGCCGGCGACGATGACGACGCCCTGCTCCGCGCATCGTCGAGCGACGACGACGATGGCAGTGATGAAAGTGACGACGATGATGGCGATGGCGACGGTGAGCCGCCTGTCGACGTTTCGTCGTTTGACTTTGATGCCTCGGAGATTACTGTGGTCACCGAGGACGACTACGAGGTTGCTGATGTTGAGCCAGTGGCTGTCATGGACGATGCGGAAGCTGAGGATGCGTTTTTGTTGGACGATGGTGTTGTTGGCGGTGGTGGAGACTCTGAGGGCGAGAGTGGAGGCGAGGGTGGCATTGATGGGGGGGAGGGGGAGGCTGAGGCTGTGACCAATGCCGAGCTCGGTCCCGAACCCGTTGTTGAGGATGAGGCTGAGCCCGTTGTTGAGGATGAGGCTGAGCCCGTTGTCGAGGTTGAGGATGAGGATGAGCCCGTCGTTGAGGTCGAGGATGAGGATGAGCCCGTCGTTGAGGTCGAGGATGAGGCTGAGCCCGTTGTCGAGGTTGAGGATGAGGCTGAGCCCGCTGTTGAGGTTGAGGCCGAGGCTGAGCCCGTCGTCGAGGTTGAGTCCAAGGCTGAGCCCGTTGTCGAGGTTGAGTCCAAGGCTGAGCCCGTTGTCGAGGTTGAGTCCAAGGCTGAGCCCGTCGTCGAGGTTGAGTCCAAGGCTGAGCCTGTCGTCGAGACCGAGGCCGAGGCCGCCGCCAGAGCCGAGACCGCGGCCCTCACCAAGACCGAGGCCGAGCACACCACCAAGACCGAGGCCGAGCACACCACCAAGGCCGAGGCCGAGTTCACCACCAAGGCCGAGACCGAGGTCGCCACCAAGGCCGAGACCAGTCTTGAGTCCACGACTCATCCCACTCCCTCGGCCAAAGCCACAACTCCGCACGCCGTCATCCTCGATGACGTGCTGGAGAGCCAGACTCAGGTCCGCGCAACAGAGCCGGACATGGAAGTAGAGTCGGTGTCCGAGCTGGTGCCGTCGCCGCGCGACCGCAAGCCGACCGCGTCCCGCCGCCGTGCGCCGCGACGCGATCGCCCAGAGAGCAGCACCACGCCACGCCGCCGTAAGCGGCGCAAGCATCGCAGCCACAAGCAGACGCCCACAGGCCAGCCTGTTCATCCCAGCATGCTTGCCACCCCACCGCCACCGGCGCCGTACACTCCGCCCAAGCTGCGACTTGACATGACGCCCGCCAAGAGCAACCGACCTGCCGCCTCGCCGGCCCATCTTCTAGCCTCGCTCTCCAAGTCAGCTGCACTCGCGTCGGGCGTCGGTGCTAGCTCACGCAGGGGCTCGGGCCGGAAGGCGACCGGCGGGTCGCTCGGCCGGCGCGCTTCCGACCGCACCAAGCGCGCGCTTGCGCGTGCCAAACAGCGTTGCCGTCGCGACGCACAGATCGAGCACATGGAGCGCAGAGTGGCTGCCCAGGTCTACCGCTCGCGACAAGCCGAGCTAGCAGCGCGACAGGCCGAGGAGGCCGAGCGCGCCGCCGCAGCTCTCGCCTCGGCCTCGTCGCCTGCAGTCCGGTGGAAGCCGGCGGCTCGCTGGAACGAGCGCCGGGTGCCCGAGGCGGCGAGAGCGCGCGTGGGCCATCCGCACCTCGACCCGGCGTACGAGGACCACGTCGCCATGGCTGCCATTCGCGCGCAAGACTATGAGCGCCAGCTCAAGTTCCAAACCGCCAAGGCCAAACTCGAGGCTGAGACGTCCGAGTATGAGCGGGCGCGTGAAGAGCGCAAGCGCCGCGCCGCCGCCATCGACTCGTGGCGCAACTCAAAGCGCCGGGCGAACGGGTCGCGACGCGGAGCCGGCTCTGCCCGCGCCGCCCATGGCTCGCTCACTGATCTGGCCGGCGCCAGGCGCAGCCAGGAACAGTCGCGCGACACCGGGCCCGGCAGAGGCCGCGGGGACGCGCCCGTCCGTGACGACGTCTCGAACGGCTCGGCGTCGAGCGGCGGCGCCGACTCGCAGGCCGACCTGATCTCGTCCCGCAAGCAAAAGCGGGCGGCGGCACGTCTGGAGCGGCTGCTCTCGCTGCGGATGACCCGTGACGAGCTCAAGGACCGCAACATCCTGCGCATCGACCGCGGGGCCAACGTCGCCGCCGCCGCCGCGCCTTCCGGCTTGCCCTCAGCCGGCCACTCTGCTCTTATTGCCAACACCCGGCGCCTCCTGCCGGCGCTGCTGGAGCGGCGGCCATCGATCGACCTCCTCCGCTCGCGCGGTGTCCTCCAGCCGGAGCACTCGACCGTCGAGTTTGCCAAGTTTCAGAAAATGCTCGCCGGCATCGACAAGAACAAGGACGCGTCGCTGGAGGACCTCGACGCTCTCGCCGATAGCATGCAGATTGGTTCCGGCTCGGACGCCGGCTCGGATGAGTCGGGCTCACCGATTCACGAGCGAAGCGGCGTTGGGCTCAGCGGCGGACTCTCCATCGACTTTGACCCGCTTGCCGTCGTCTCACCGGTCGACGACTACGACCAGGATGCCACCGAGAGCATCAAGCCCGACGCACGCATCTGGGATGTGCTCGACTCGGAGCCGCCACTGTACTATAACGCCAAAAAGCGGGTTGCTGGCGGAACAGTCAACCGGCTCGTCGAGTTCCTCACCTTGTCGTCGGGCGTGTCGGACCTCTTCACGCGGGTCTTCTTCCTCACCTACAAGTGTTTCACCACCAAGGTCCATCTCCTCGCCAAGCTACTGGGCCGCTATCTGTATGCTCCGACTGACGGCTCAGTCGACGTCCGCGGTGTCCGCGCCCGGGTCATCTACGTCCTCCGCTTTTGGGTCGAGCACTTTCCGTTCGATTTTGACCGCGCGCCGCGGCTGTTCTCGGAGATTCAGGCGTTTGCATCGACAACCCTCGTCGACGACGGCTTTCTGCAGCACTCGTCGCAACTCCTTGTCGCACTCGACCGTGCCACGTACCAGATCCGGACCCGCAAGGAGGAGGAGCGGCGAGCCAAGGAAACCTTGCCGACACCTGACCTCCTCGCCAAGTACCGTAAGCGCGACATCTGCGCGCTTGATGCCGTCGACGTGGCCAAGCAGCTGACACTGGTCTCGTTCTCGCTCTTCCAGCGCATCCGGCCAAGCGAGCTCATCCGCGTGGTGTGGACCAAGTCTGCGACAGTTGCGCGCGCGCCCAACGTCATGCGCATGATCGCACGGTTCAACGAGCTCTCGGCCTGGGTCCAGCTTGAAATCCTCAAGCGGGAGAAGCCCAAGGATCGGGCGGCAGTCATCACCAAGTTTGTGTACATTGCGCACGAGCTCGTGGCATGCAACAACTTTGACTCGCTCATGTCCATCATCGCCGCCCTTAACTCGGCACCCATCCTCCGGCTCCGCCACTCCCAGGCGCTGATCAAGTCCAAGGTCAAAGCCCGCCTCGCCGCTGTCGAGGATGTCATGTCGTCGCGGCTCAACCACTCCAAGTATCGCTCCATCCTCTTCGGCCTGCCGCGGACAACACCCGCGCTGCCGTACCTCGGCATGTTCCTGCAGGACCTGTTCTTCATCGACGATGGCAACCCAGACATGTATCAGGACAAGCCCGGTGTCGTCAACTTTACCAAGCACCACCAGACGGCCTCGATGATCATGCAGGTTCAGCGGTTCCAGGCAGTTCCGTTCACCTACGACGAAGTCCCATGGATCCGTGCCATCGTCACACAGGCCTCGAGCCTCGACGACAATGGTCTTTACTCTCTCTCCCTCGAGCGTGAACCTCGCCGGTAGCAAACGACCAGATCGACTAAGAAAGAAAAAGAGAGAGTGTGTGAGAGAGTGAGCGTGTTGCGTATGTGCGTGTTGGGCGGAGCGGCCATCAGGCAGGTGAGCTGACACGCCGGTGGCAGGCCAGCCAGCGGTTGGGGGCACCACTTTACCCCCAACATTGGCCACTCACCGCCAAACAGGCACCCTGGACAGCGAACGCCGCACGAGCTCCGGTCAACTGGACGGGCGCACGGTGGAGCATGGGTGGTTGCTGCTGTACGTAGAGTGTGGAAACAGTGGCAAGTGGTAGGCAGTAGTGCCTGTGGCCGGTCTCTGCCGCTGGGAAGACTCGCCTCCTTGCGCCTCGCACCGTGGCCGTGGCGGTCGGGTGGGTGGTCGGGTGGGGGTGGTCAGGCGGGGCGGGCGGGCCATTTTTTGCCGGTGACGGGGCAGACAGCAGGTGGAGGCGGTGAAGAGAAGGAGGGGGGGAGGGGGGGGAGGGGGGGTTGAGCGAGGAAGAGGCTCACGGGGAGAGGGGATGGCATTGGTGGGGAGATAGCCAAGGGGAATGGTGGCGAGGAGGTCGAGCCAAAGTTTGATGATCCCATATACGCCACAGTGGGGGCGGCGGACGGCCCAGCGGCGACGGCGCTGGGCGACCAGCCCAGCGGGGCAGCGGGCGCAGGCTCGCCCAAGGCCGGTCAGGGTGGACCTGGCGAGGTGGGCGGTGGCGGCGACGGTGAGCCGGGCTCGCCCACGCCGGGCGTGGCGGGCGTAGCGGGCGTGGCGGGCGTGGTGGGCGTGGTGGTGTCGGGTACGGCGTCGGACCGCGGGGCGGCGTCGGGCGGAGCGCCCGCCCGCGACTTTGCCTCGCGCGAGGCCGAGCTTGTAGCGCGGCGGCAACGGCCGGGCGCCGATGCCGAGCGGTACGCGCCGTGTTTTGCAGACTCGACGACACTGTTCCGGACAGCGGCTGCCGGCGTCCTGCCCAAGTACGACGTGGTGGAAGGCCGCCGCCGGCGGCGGCGGTTCTTTACCACCCGCGCCCGGCTGCTTGCCGAGGAGCAGCTCGATGTCGATGACGAAGGGGCCGAGCCGCGCGATGGGTCCTCCGGCGGCCCGGCGCCTGCTCGGCGACCGCGTAAGGTCTTTGTGCTGGGCGCTGTGCCCAAGACAAGAGCCAAGGTTGCCCTCGACCGCAGGCTGCGCCGCGCCCGCGAGGAGGAGCGCGGCGTGTACGAGCCGTCGTCGTGGGAGACCATGGACTGCGAGCTCGACGACGACTCGTCGATCCGCACCCTCGCCTCGCGCTCGGCGCTCGACGCCCGCATCCGCTGGGAGGCTTCGCGCCGCATCGACGGCGCCCACTCGCGCGAGCACTCGCCGCCGCGGGTCGTCGACCCGCTCGACGCCTCCAACAAGATTCGCAACGCCCTGAAGATCAGGCGCATGCGCGTCTACCTCGACCGCCTCCGCGCACGCAAGGCCTACATTGTCGACAACCACCGCGAGGAGCAGGGCGCCGTCGAGCTCGTCTTTGCCCAAAAGTACGGCGCCTCGTTTGACGACGTCATCGCCGAGATGGCCAAGTCCGGCGAGCCTGTCGAGCTTCCATGATGTGCCGTAGGTCCGTCCTGTCGAGCTTCCATGATGTGCCGTAGGTCCGTCTTGAACAAAATTGATGAAGTGACCAGCCAGCTGCAGCCACCAGCTCCAGCCGCCAGCTGCAGCCACCAGCTCCAGCCACCAGCCCACCAACCACCACGACCCCACCCCACCCCACCCCCACCCCCACCCCCACCCCCCTCATGCAGTGCTCAGGGTGCAGGTTCGCCCTGGCCACCCCGCCCACCGGTCGCCCCGGCGAGGTCCACCGTGGTGGGCTTGCCTGGCACGCCGCTTGCTGGGCATGCTCGGCCTGTGGCGCAGACTTTGCCCTCCCACCGCGGCCCTCGGGCCCGGTCTTTGACCGCGGCGGCGGCGCCCTGCACTGCCCCGTCTGCTTTGTCCGCAAGGTCAAGGACGAACTCGGCTGGAACGGCCACCTCGCCCCGATGCTTGTTCCCACCGTTGCTCCTGCTCTCGCTGCGCCGCCCCCCCCTGCAGCTGTTGCTGATGCTGCTGCCGCCCCGGACGCTGCTGTAACGCCGGGCCGCGAGCTCTCGGATGGATCCTCGCTCTCGGACATTGAGGTCCCGGACTCGGGCTCGGACTCGGGAGAGCTGGAGTGGTCGTCGGATGGCGAGCAAGGCCAAGTCGCAGCGTCTGCTGACGGCGGCCACGGGAGCAACGACAATGACGACGACAGCGCCCGCCCGCCGCGGAGCCATGCAGGCTCGGTGGCGTCGGCCCTGATGCCGCAACCGGCAGAAAGCTATCTTGAACCGTCGGATGGCTCGGTGCTGGAGGTGCCGGCTGCGCTTGTGGCGCAGCTTAACGCGCAGTTTGTCTCGGTCACCATCAACCCGGCCTTTGACGCCGCAAACTGGGATCCTGCTCTTGCCTGGGCCTCGGTGGCGGAGCCTCGCAGCGAGAGTGAGGCTGAAAGCGGCGACGAAGGTCAGGCCAAGACCAAGGGCAAGATCAAGAGCAGACCAAGGGCAAGACCAAGGGCAAGGTCAAGGATAGGAAGAGCGGCGAGCCAGGTGTCGGCGTGTTCATCACCCACCGCATCGGCGAGACTGCACTCGACGAGGCCGTCACCGAGGTATGCGAGCACGACTTTGAGGCCAAGCTCGCGTCGGCACATGTCTACGTCGACCCGCACGGGAAAGAGCACAAGTACACGTCGTCCGAGTACGCGCCGCGGGCGTTTGCAGCCATCCGGGAAATGTACGGCATTTCGCCGGCCGAGTGGCGCGAGTCGATGGCCGACTCTGCGCTCGTTGGGGGCTCGCTCGGTGCAGGCAAGTCTGGCTCGCTCTTCTGGACCTCGCGCAACCGCGCGTTTGTCATCAAGTCGCTGCCCAAGTCGGAGCTGGTAGTCTGCCTCAAGCTCCTTCGCGAGTACCACGCACATGTGGCAAAGTACCGCGAGACGACACTGCTTCCGCGGTGGTTTGGCCTCTTTAAGATTCAGATCGGCAAGGCTAAGCCCGTCCGGGTTCTCGTCATGAACAATGTGCTGTACACTCAGCTCCCACTCGACGTCGCCTACGACCTCAAGGGCTCGACCAAGGACCGCTTTGTCAAGCCTGAGAAGATCATGCCCGGCACAGGACTTACCGTCCTCAAGGACCTCAACCTCGACCATCCGGTCTACGTCTCGTCCGACGACAAGGCCGTGCTCCTGGACCAGCTCGCCGCCGACATCGCTCTCCTTTCCAACACCCACCGCATCATGGACTACTCGCTGCTGCTCGCTGTCTGCCAGCTGAGCGACGGCGATGAGCCGTTGTCGCCAAGTCGCGAGACCCGTACCGCAACTGCTTCCTCGGTCTCGTCGACGTCAGGCACGCCGCCGCTCGCCCCGGTCTACCGCTCGCAGTGGCAGCAGTTCTGCGGCGGCATGCGTGGCGTCAACGCCAATGGCTCGCCTCGTGACATGGTTTATCTCATCGGGCTCGTCGATACCCTCACTGTGTACGACAACAAGAAGCGCGCCGAGCATGCGCTCAAGGTCGTCCGCGACAAGGGCGGCCGCGAGGGCATGTCCGCCGTCGCACCTGACCTTTACTCGCGCCGCTTCCTCGCCTTTGCCTCGCGCCTCTTCTCGACCCAGGGCGGTCTCGACGGCGACAAGCCGTACAAGCCGGCCGAGCTGCCGACGGATGCCGGGTTAGGCAGCATCGGCTTGAGCGCAAGCACCACGCCGCCGACCGGCTCCGACTCGGAGCCTGAGCTCGGGCCCGAGTCTGACTCTGTCTCCGGCTCTGGCTCTGTCTCCGGACCCGAGTCGGATCCGGGCTCGGCATCTAGTTAGTTTACTCGAGGCTGACAGGCCAGTCGATTTGGACTGCGCCGGCAACAAAGCCGCGGAGGTACTCGAGGGCAGCACGGGCGTGCGGTGACTCGTAGACTTGGGGGAGCGGATGGAGAATGGCATCGGTGTAGATGAGGACAACCTTGTTGCGGGCGCGGGTGACGGCAACGTTGAGCCGCGCGCGCTGATAGATAAACTCGGCCTCGCGAGCGACCTGATGCGGGTCAAAATAGCCGTAGGCAACGACACAGGCCTCGACCTCGCGCCCTTGCATCTTCTCGACAGTGTCGATCGAGCCGGCGAGCGCTCCCTCCAGCGCGGCATCGACCATTGACTTCTGCGAGCGATGCGGAGTGATGACAAACACACCGCCGGCGCTAAACGGCGTCTCTGAGTCGATCGGCCATGCCTGCTCCAGACCGTGGCACATGTCGGCAATGGCTCGGGCCTCAGCGAGGACCAACGACTCGCGCGGCGCGCCCATCCAGCCATCGGGATCGTCGAGGACCAGCCGGACGGCGACCATGGGGAGTTCGGAATCGGCAACAGTGACTACCTGCGGGGCACGGGCGACGAGGTCGGCGTCGAGCTCGTCGGCGGTGAGCGCCAATCGCTGGTTCTTCTGCATGCACTCGTAGTCGGCGTAATAGAGTGCGCGGGTAAACTCGGAGAGGCGCGAGTTCATCCGGTAGTTCTTCTTGAGCAGCGCGACGTGCGGCTGGCCGACGAGGTGGCGGACCATGTCACCGACGTCACCACCCATGGGAATCGCCTTGTTTTCTGCCGTCCGCAGCAGGCACTGCAGGATCGACGAGAACAGCGTCGGCATGCCCGGAACCTGTGGGTAGTCCTGACGGATGATTGGCGGAAGTTGCATGTGGTCGCCGGCGACGATGAGCCGGCCGCCGGTCGCCATCCGCTGGACCGCCAGCGCGGTCTCGGCCACCGGGAGCTGTGAGCCTTCGTCAACGATTAGGAGATCGAACGGCCGTGTGTTGGCCAGTTGCTTGTCGATCTGGTAAACTGTTCCGCCGAGGACGGTAAAGCGCGCGGCAGACATGTCGTCCGATGACGCGAGCTCGCGGTAGGGCGCGGCTGGAACGCCTGCGCGCTGCAGCGGTGTCTCTGGGAGGCCGCCGCTATCGGATGCTTGCGGCGCATCGCCCGTGGTCGACGGCGACATGATCTTGCCGACAAAGACTGCGGCCGGCCAGTCTGGCCCACTCCGATTAGCAATGCCGGCAAATGTCCGCCGCAGCTTGGCGACTCGGGCGAGGAGGTTGTCGATAGCGGCGTTGGTAAAGCCGGTGAGAAGAACGTCGAACGGGGTGTCCATGTTTCCCGCAATAGCCACGCCCTCGATGAGCCGCAGGATGACCAGCGCCAGTGCGTGGGTCTTGCCAGTACCAGGTGGGCCCCAGACAAGCTGTAGCCGCCCACCTGGCCCCTCGCCGATTAGGCTGCGGAGAATGGCGGCCTGTGAGTTGTCGAGCTTGACGTGGCGGTCGATGGCATCGATCCGAATGAGGTCATTGATGGCGGTGTTGCGAGCCTTGACAGCATCGGCGAGGCCCGGCAGGACCGGTGTTGTCGTCGTCGACACTGCCCACGCCACCGGATCAGCAATGAGGTCGAGAAAGGTAGACGTAGAGGCAGCGTCCGAGCCGGGCGTGTCGAGGGCAAACAAGTGCGAGACGACACGCTGGGTAGTAAAGTCGCGGCCGCGCTCACGAAGCACCAAAAGGGTACCGGGCGTGAACCAAGACTTGGCCTTGGCGGCACGCGGCGCCTTGGACGAGGTAAGCACGAGGAGGTCGAGGTTGGCGCTGGCGCCATCAGGCGCGCGGTCGACCCTCGCAATGCCGGCAAACGCCATCGGGAGCGTAAGGCCTTTCGGCCACATGGCTCTGTGGAAGCGGACGTCGGGGAACTTGATAGGCGACATGACGTCGTCACCGCCCACCAGCATCCACGGCCCAAAATCAGGCAGAGTGTCGGCATCGACGTACTCAAGGCCGGCCTCGACGTGGACACGCAGCTGCCAGCCAGTCCACGAGTCAACTTCGTAGGCCGAGTTTTTGGCCCAAACCGGCGGCTTGACAACCGAGACAAGGATGACTTTGCCAGGGTGGGCGCGAGATGGCGGCTCTGCCAGCGTTGATTCCACCGGCGTGTCGCCGTCCCGCCCAGCGAGCACTGCTGTCGCGCCCGGAAAGGCGAGGCGGTCGTCGACGAGCTCAGCCCAAGTCTGCATCATCTCAAACTGGTTCATAAAGATGAGCCGGCGAATCGTCGGGTGGTTGACTCGGAGTGGAAGGACCGGATCGAGCGGCTCGGCTTCGAGAACGAGCGCACCGACAGGACGCGCAAGAGCACGCAGCGCGTCCAACACCGCAGCCAGCGAGTCAAGCTTGGTGGCAAGTCGGATGGCGGCCGAGCCGCGAGCGCCGCTGCGCATCTCTGGCGAAGGGTCGGCGAGGCCTCGGAAGGCATCATAAATCGCGTCAAGAGAAGTGTCGATGCTCGATGCCGAAGGCGAGACGAGCCGGCTGTGGACATCGGAGAGGGTGTAGTAGCCCGGGACCGGAAGTACAACGAGCTCGGCGACAGCTTGCTCGAGAGCGGTGAGACGCGATGCGGTGGAGAACGAGTCGTGGCCGCGCTGTACGGCGAGCTTGAGCATGGCCTTCAAGTCCTTGGCAGAATCGTCGGGTGAATGCGGCACGCCGAAGCGCTCCAGCCGCTCAATCACCTCGTGCTTGCGCAGCTTGGAGATGCCCGACTCTAGAGCGGCGCCGATTCGATCGGGCAGAACCGAGGTGGCGAGGATGTTGGCATCGTTGACAAAGGTGAGCGCGAGTCGCTCAGCTGCCGCAGCAGCGACGGGATCCGCCGATGAAGCAGCGACACGGAGGACAGCCGAAAGGAGTGCATAGCGCTCATCGCGACCCCAGACATAGACGTGGAGCGAGCGGTGGGGCGCGTCGAGAACATTCGGCCGTTCCGCGGCAGCTGCGTCGAGTGCCTGAGTCAGGCCGGTGACCAGAGCCTCGGCAGCAGCCAGCGGCGCGGCGTAGACCTCGCTCGGCGCGGCAAGGTGCCAGGCGAGCGGGAGCTGAGCAGACTTGTCTTCTTGGTTGTGGTCAAGCAGTCGGAACGACCAAGCAAACACGGCGGATGAAAACGGATCCACCGCGAGGGTAACAACGAGGGCAAGGTCCTCGGCGATCGGGACATGCCGGGAGCGGACACCGGGGACAACGACAGGCTTATCGCACTCGTAGGCGGCGGCCACGCCCGGGGGAAGGAGCTGAGGGGAGTCTGCAATGATGCGGGAGAACTCGCCAGAGGCCGGCGAACCGCCGAGCGTGTGGCGAAGCGCAGCATGGGCCGACGCTGACAGGTACGGGATCTTGGAGATGGTGTCATCGGCAAGGGTGCGCGATCGGCAGTCGGCCTGATACTCGCAGGTCTTGCACACCTCGGCGAGCCGGTAGTCAGCCGATGCGAGGCCAGCGGCGACAAGCGGGGGAGGCGGGTGTCGATAAAGTCTGTGAGGAGGTCTGTGAGGAGCGAGAGACGGAAGACATCGAGCGGAGCGTTCGGTCGCCATACCGCACCGACGTGCGCCACAGGGACCAATGCTGAGAGCGGGATAGTGGGACCGGCGTTGTGCGGAAGTGCCCACGGTGGAAGGGCAGCGGCAGGAACTGTGACGTCGTCAAGGAGCGGGGCAAGGGCGAGGGCGTAGAACGCGACCTGCATCTGGTGCGATAGCTTGAGGCGCTTGGACGACTTGGCGTCGATAATAACGATTTCCAGAGGCGCATCGTGCGGTGCACCGGGCGGTGCAGGGCGGATGAGCAGAAAGTCGGGCTCCCATGAGCCCCACGTGACGCCCGGGACCTGAAACGGGACACCTGTAAACCGCGGATGGTAGATGTAGTGACCCGGGCGGAGATCAACCGAGTCAGCGAGCTCGCGGTGGGGCACCAGACGGTCATCAAGCCTTTGGGCGAGATCGCTGGCTGACGCCGTGGCTGCCAGGAGCGCCATGACTGTGTCCGCGATCATTTCCAGCGGAACGGCGTCGGCAGCGTCCGATCCTACACCTGCAGCGGCGATGGAAGCATTGATACCATCCTCGAACAGCACACCGCGTGCAAAGGTGGCACCAGTCAGTGACTCGATATCTGGAAGGTCCGGTACCGGCACGAGAGTTGGCGTGGCGGTAGGATGAGAGCCAGCCGTGGCGGAGGAAGGCGACGATGAGCTTGCTCGGGCTGCGCGGTCTGTGCCCCTGCGGAGGAGAAAGTACTCGCAGTGGTTGTAGAAGAAGGCACCGAGGGATGAAGCCGAGAGGCGGACGGGGGATGGGGAGGGCGGGTCCATCTGTGGGTGTGGTGGGTGTGGTGGGTGTGGTGAGGTGGTGGCAGCCATGGCCGGTTCCACCGCTCTCTCGTGTTCTGTGTGCCTCGGGCACGTGTGGGTGGCTGTGCGGGTGGGCGAATATGGCAGCAAGCATGGATGGGTCTGATGATATGGGCTGGTGTGGATATGGCGCGGGGGTGGTGGGAGAGGATGAGGGTGGTGGCGAGGGCAGGGGCGAGGATGGAAGCGGGGACGGGAGCGCGAGCGAGAGCTACTCAGAGCTGTCGGTGATCGAAATGGACGAGTCGTCGTCGGTGCAATCGGGATCGGGGTCGGGATCGAGGTCAGGATCGGCGGCGCTTGAGGGCGACCGGAGGGTGATGATGAGCAGGGGACAAAGGCGGGCGGCGCGACGGAGCAAGACAGCAGTGGTGGTCGAGTGGCGGGCGCTGACAGCCGAGGAGCTGGACGAGGCACTGGCGGGCAAGGTGAGGAAGGTGACGCAGGTGTTTGCGCTGCCGCGACTGGTGGCGCTGCGGGTGCTGCAGCGATACAGATACGAGACAGATCGGGTGGTCGAGGCGCTGGTGAGCAGGCCCGAGGCTGTGGCGGCGAGCGTTGGCCTGACCTCGTTGGACGAGCTTCAGGGTGCAGGGCCAGGTAGTGAGACCGGGCCAGCTGATGGCGACGTTGTCTGCGGCGTTTGCTACTGCGAGGTAGCGATGAACGAGAGTCACACGCTGCGATGCGGGCACCGGTTCTGTTATGCTTGCTGGAGGATACACGTGGAGATGGAGGTTCGCGAGGGCCGGGCGGCGGGGCTGGCGTGCATGGGCTCGGATGCGGTGTCGAACGCGCGGTGCAGTGTTGGCGTTGACGACTTTGTGGTGGAGAGGTTTGTGCTTGGCAAAGCACGCGTTGCGGGGCGGTACAAGCGGTTCTTGCGCGAGTCGTATGTGTCGGGCAACCCGTACATCAAGTGGTGCCCGTTTGAGGGATGCGAGTGCGCGGTTGAAGTCGATCTCCACGACGCAGCCGTGAGTGTCGAGTGCCACGCCGGACATCTGTGGTGCTATCGGTGTAGCCACGAGGCGCATGTGCCGGCGTCGTGCGAGCAGGTCAAGACGTGGCTGACAGAAGTGCGTGAAGAGTCGGCCAACGACAACTGGATCGTGGTCAACACCAAAGCGTGCCCCAAGTGCGGGGTGGCGACCGAGAAGAACGGTGGGTGCAACCGCATCGGGTGCGCCAAGTGCTCGATCCACTGGTGCTGGCTGTGTGGGATCTCGTCTCCAACGCCAGAGTTGATCTACTCGCACGGTTGTGGCAAGTTTGAGGAAGAACAAAGCGAGACGATTCAAACGCGCAAGACGGCGGCGGCCGAGATGGCGCGCTTCACTCACTACGCCGACCGGTACAACAATCATCATGTCTCTCGCGAGTTTGCGCAGAAGCTTGCAGCGTCGCTCGGGAACATGATCACCAGCAGCAGCAGCAGCACGACTGGCGGCGGAAGTAGCGAGATGCGGCGGACCATGGCGGAGCAGCTGGCGGGAGCAGCAAAGGCCCATCTCCGGGCGCGAACAGCGCTCAAGTGGTCGTACGTGTTTGGGTTCTACTGTCGACGCGGGACGCGGCAGCTGGAGCTATTTGAGTTTACGCAAGAGGCGCTCGCCAAGGAGGTGGAGCAACTGGCGTCTGCTCTCGAAGACGACGAAGACAACGTCGAGCCCGCTGACGTCGTCCGGCTCGCGCATCTAGTCGAGCATCGGCTGGATGGCATGCAGAGAACGGTGGCCGAGGGCATGCAGATGGCTGCCGAGTCGGGCGGGGTACAAGAGAGTAGTGAGGCTGGCCCGAGTGGAGTATGTGTCGGGGCAAAACGCAAGCGGGAAGGCGTTGCCGCGGAAAGGGAAGCGCCGGCGGTTGTAGATCCCACGACCGAGCTCGACCGTGATTTGGAGGCAGCGCTGGCGGCATCACTGATGTGAGGGTGGAGGAGGGGCGGAGCGGGCGGATCGCCACTCGGACTCGCGGTTCTCAAGCTGAGCGAGGTAGGCCATGACCTTGCGGAGCACGCCTGGGGCTTGGGTGTCATGCTCGGCGGCAAGGGCCGGGTCAAGCGCGGCGAGCTTGGAGCGAAGCGAATCGTTGGTGGAGAGAAGGAACTTGAGGATAGCGACCCAGGTGTCGAGGTCAACGTCACGGGCGTCGAGCTCTGCGGCCATATCGACACAGAGCTTGGAGCGGGCTTCGAGGTGCTCAAGGGTAAAGTCGATGTTGGACTCGATGGAGGCGACCATCTGCTTGACGTAGTCGACAAAGGCGCGCTGCGAGGCAAAGGCAGACATCGGGGCGAGCTCGGTGTCAAAGTGAGCGGTCTCGTCGGGAATGCCACCAAGATCGAGGCGGGCGGCGTAGCCCGCGGCGGCGGCCTTGGTCTCGGCCTTCAGCTTGGCAAGAAGGTGGACCGGTTGAGTCGACTTGGAGTAGACACGGTGGAAGAGCTGGTGGAAAAAGTCGAGGACGTCTTGAGCGGGCGGCTGAGACTGAGGCTGCGGCTGCGGATGCGGCTCGGCCGCGCGTTGATCAGCGGCAGCGGCGAGGGCCTGGTTCTGTGCCACAAGGTCGGCCATGACCGACTCGTACTCGGCGAGCTTGGACTCGAGGGCGGCAATGCGGGCCGACGACGCGGGGTCAGGCAGCGGTGACGAGGCCACCGGCTGCGGCGCAAGCGTCTGCGGAGGCGGATCGTCTGCGGCAACGGTGTTGACCTGTGCGTGCGTGGATATGTGCATGGCGCGCTGCGCGTACTGCAGAGTGGAAAGCGACTCATCGCGGTTGGCGCGCGCCGGTCCGACAGTGGCGATGAGGGCGGTGATGGACGAGCCGTCGAGGCACGACTGGAGAAGCTTGGTGAGGATGGAGTCGCGCCAGGGAACATGAACGGTGCGGCGGCGCTCAGCCTTTGCGGCGATGACATTACCGAGGGCAGAGAGCGATTGGTTGATGAACTTGGCTTCTTGCAGGCGGAGGCCAGACGAGGTGGTCTTCTTCACCCGCTCGGAGCCGGCGAGGTCGACGAGAAGGAGGCGGGACGAAGTGAGCGAGGACTGGCCCTCGGCGACGATGTCGACAGCTAGCATGACGTGAGAGCGGGATGAGGTGGCGTTCATCAGGGTCGAGGCCATGACCCGTGATTCGAGGCCGCGCGCGACGGCGGCCATGGCCTCGGCCTCGGACGCGACGACAGCCGTGGTGAGGCCGGGGATGTGGAAGCCGCGCTCGCGCGACTCGCGGACGGCAAGGTCCTCGTTTCCGGGATCAAGCAAGTCGTAGACGCGGTCACAGTAGACCTGCACAAACGAGAGGGTGACCTCGACCGAGTCGTCGACGGCAGCAAAGATTTGGGCGAGGGCGCGCGGGACAACACCTGCCGACTCGGGCCGAGCCGCATCGTGCTGCAGCATGCCGAGTGTGTATGTTTTCCCGGTCCCCGTCTGGCCATAAGCAAGCACGGCGCCGTTGTATCCGCTGATGACCTTGGCAACAACCGGAGCGGCAACGGCAGAGTAGAGATCTGCCTGCGAGGTGCCCGGACCAAAGGCGGCGTCGAACTTGAAGTCGCGCTCGTAGGCCGGCCAGTGGAGCGAGGCAAAGTCACCAGCGGTGGAGACGACAGCGGCATAGTCGGGCTCTCCGGCTTCCGACGCAAATGGCGGGCGGACACGAACATAGCCATGGACCCGTGACTCGAGTGGTGCCCGTGCCGGCAGCGGCATGGCCTTGGCGCCTGTCCTGCTCCGTCCGCAAAATTTGAATGTATTTGTCTTTGGCGCCGGCGCAGCCCCCGGCACGGCAGGCGCGGGCATGGCATTGGTCTTGTTGGCGAGCGGGACGCGGCGATGTGGGGCGAACGGGGTCTTTGTCCCAGCTCTAAACCAGCCATTGGTGGATGCTGCGGAGGCCATGTCGTAAGAGAAAGAAGGAGCGAGTGGGTGGGTGTGCGGAGGTGGCGTGGGTGGAGTGTGCTGGGTTGGGTCGGAGTTGGTGTCGGACACAGGGCACTCGTCTTACTTGGCCGCCAAGCACGGGGCCGGCTGCGATGGAGTGTGATGACGAATTGGGCAAAAGTGGAGGTGGCCGCGGGCGGAAGGAGAAGGCGATGGCAGAAGCGGAGGTGGTGGCAGTGGTGGCGGTGGGACGGGCGGCCAAGTGGGTGGCCGCACTGGGGCTGCAGTCCGGGCACGGGACAAAGTCGGTCTCGGTGGCGAGCGTGGCGGTGTCGGGGTTGGAGGCTGCGGTGGGCGTGGCCGGAGTGGTCGTCGGACAGGCGGGTACAGGGACCGCAAGCGGGGCGGTGGTAGAGGCGGCGCGGAGTGGCAGTGGCGGTGCAATCGTCGTGGTCGAGGCAGGCGAGACCGGCGCGGTGGCTAGCGGCGCGGCATGGGCGCGGAGCGCGATGGAGGAAAGCGTGCGGGTGCTGGTCGTAGCAGGCGAGTCTAGCCCCGAGGATGAGACGAATGCGGCACTGGCGGATGTAGCGGTGCTGGCGGCGTGCGGCAGCGCGGACGAAGCGCGACAGAGGGTGATGATGGTTCGCGCGCGCGGCAACTCCGAGGCTCAGGCTGCCATCGTCGAGGCCCTGGTGGCGATGGCGGTAGCTGGCGTCCTGAGCGACCGACTCTTACCGACAGTGTGGGCCTTTCCGCAATTTCCGGTCGTGTCGGCACGGTTCGCAAGGTGCGACGCCAATAGGCTCGGCGCCGGCCTGCGAGGTGCGCTCGGCCTGGATGAGAGCAGGGCGAGCCGGGTCTACACCGGATTCGTGTCGTGCCGCGCGAGAGCGACGACACGGAAAGCCGCGGCAAAGGTGAGCGAGACGGCAGTCGCTGCGAGCATGGAGCTCGGAGTGGTTGCTCAGTGTGACGGCCGGGTCGGGCTGGCTGATGGCGCGCTGATGCCACTCGGGACGTGGCTCCGCGAGCCGGCACTGGCCGGGCACGCCGAACGTGAGGCGTACTTTGACGCGTGGCTCGAGGGCGATGCGCAGTCTGGGCGCGTATTCGACGCTGTGGTCGAGTGCGTCGGGTTTGGGCTCGACGCGTGCGCTGTTACCGACCTGCACGCAAGCTGGACGACGCTAGCGGCGACACTGGGCGATGCGATGCGGGTTGGCGATGTGGGGAAGTATGGCGAGGCCGTGCTGGCCGGCGCGCAGGCGATGTGCAGCGAGGTCGGCGGGTGGATGAAAGGCTTGGAGGCAGGGCTGTAAACAGGTGTTTCACGGGGACGACAGAGGTGTGCGGCGGGAGGGACGAACGGCGTCGCGGGTGGCAAAGAGCAAGCCGAGAGAGGCGGCGGTGGCCTGGACGCGGTCGAGGCGCTGGCGGCCGGCCGAGACAGACGGATCAAAGAGGACGAGGCCGGCGGAGCGAGCAAGTGACTCTGCATAGGTGCGGAGGTCGGAAGCAGAGGCAGAGGGACCGAGGGCGGCAGCGGTGAGGCGGGCGAGCATGCGGACACTCAGCGTGTACCACATGCGCTTGTAGCCGCGGACCGGTGCGGCCGGGTCGAGGTCGATGGAGGCCGGCTTGAGGACGGCACGAAGGAGCTGGGTGGCGGTGTCGAGCTCGACGGCACCCAGGCGGGCGGTGACGGCGAGGATGGCATCAGCGAGATCAGGGTCGGCCTTGAGCGGCGGAGGTGGAAGGAGCGAGAGCGAGTCGGAAAGAAGGGCGACGGCGTGGGCGGGCCCCTGGATGGAGGCGGCACGGGCGGCACCAAGCTCGGTCTGCCACAGCTCGGCCGGCGAGACCTTGGAGCGGAGCGCGCCGGCAACAAAGGCTGGGTAGAGGCTGCGGAGCGAGCCAGTACCGGACTCGAGGGCATGAAGCAGGAGGTTGAGGTCGGGATGGCCAGAGTGGAGGCGGGCAAGAATGCGGAGCGTTTCGAGCGCCAGCGGCTGCGACGGGAGAAGATTGACAATGAGCCGCGGCGAGGTTAGGGGATCGATGCGGAGGGCGGCGATGAGGTCGAGCCACTGGTCAACGGTGGCGGAGGAGGCCCAGGCGGTGCGGACGGCGGCGAGGACGGGAGCGAGACGGGTATGGAGCGGCGGCGGCGGCGAGGTCGGCGGCTCCACTTCTGCAGCGGTGACAGCGGCAAGGCCGAGGTACTGCGACATTGGGGCGGGAGCGAGGGCGGAAGCACCAACGTTGAGGATGGGCAGGACGAGCTCCCATTGCATGCGGGCAGACGAGGCCGAGCCCGAGTCGAGCTTGGATTGGAGGTAGTCTTGAAAGACGTCGATCATGGAGCTGAGGACCGGGCGGGCAGCGGATGGGGCAGCGGCGACCTCAGCGTCGAGAACGCGGAGGGCGAGCATGTACGAGTGATCATCGAGCGGGGTGGTGAGTTCAGCGCGCGAGGTCCAGAGAGCAAGCGCCCGCTGGCGTGCGGCAGAAGAGGCCGGCGCGAGCGAAGCGAGGAGCCGAAGGAACTCGTTGAATACCCTGGTATGCGGCGGTATGCCGCGGAGGTGCATGGCGGCGTAGAGGGCGTCGCCGAGGGCGACGAGGTCGGGCGGCGGCGGCGCGGCCCGCGAGCGAGAGAGGGTGCGGAGGGCGGTGAAGAGCGACGCAAAGGTGGCCGGGGTGGGCGCAGCGTTGCCACCTTCGGCATCCATCCGTTCAAGCACCCGCATGCCGAGCGGAAGCTGGCCGGATGCAAGGGCAAGGGCGGAGAGCGAGGCGTAGTGGACCGCAGTCGGTGACACGCGCGCACGCGCGTGCATGTGGTCAGAGAGCGAAAGCGCGAGCGCAAGGCGATCGGCCGGCGGCGGTGCAGTCCGGCGCGGCGAGGCGAGTGCGAGCATGAGGCTGCCGTAGAGATGGGCCGACGGCTCGTGGAGCAGCGCGTTGTCGAGGACGGCCGAGACCGCAGAGTGGAGGTCGTCGTCGGATCCGCGGGCAAGGACCTCGATGTACGCGCGCTCGGCAATGTCGTCGAGAGCGGCAGGCTGGGAGTCACGCCAGGCGCGGGCGGCGCCCACGTCCGAGTGCAGGAGGGCGGCGAGCATGGCGTAGCGGAGCGAGTACGCGTCGGGTGAGGTGGCCGACGACGCGCAGAGCTCGTCAAAGACAGCACGGAGGCGGGCGTAGGGCGCACGGGCCGGGAACCTGGCCTTGGCCAGGCCGTAGAGTGAGGCGAGCTGTGCGTTGTAGGCGCGTGTCAGGGCGCGGGCCTTGGACCTGGGCTTGGGCTTGGGCTTTGGCTCGGGTTGCGGGGGAGGCGGAGTACGCGGCGCAGAGGCGAGGAAGCGTGGGGTGATGGCGATAGCGAGGCGTGAGGCAGAGAGGGATGTGAAGCTGATACGGAGCATGTGGTGACGGGAAGGGGAGGGGGGGGGGGATGGATGGATGGGAGGGGTGTTGGGCGGTGTAGGTATTGGGGAAGAGGGAGTGCAGGCGGTGAGTCGGGTTGGAGGAGGAGGAGGAGGAGGAGGGGGGATGCCTCGATCCAGGTCCACATTCATAGATCGGGTGGATGTAGCCAGTGGGATGCAGAGTGCGGTACGCATTGATGTGGTGGTGGTGGGTCATTTAACAGTGTCCCATCATGGCCTGGATGTGCATGCCTGGATATGCCGGGGGATCTGCTGGCGGGGGTGAGTCGGCGGTGGGCTGTGGGTGTCTCTGGTGACAGCCATCCATCCATCCATTCGTTGGGGTTGGGGCCGGTGGGGTTGGTGGTGGGCGGAGGTGGCGGTGGAGAGGGGGGGGGGGGGGGGGGGGGGGGGGCGGGAGATAGTTGTGGCAAGAGGGTGGACAAGGGCACACACTTGACTTGGGGTTGCTTATACACCGTTGGATCATGGAGGCAGACGCAGAGCGGGTTCAGGTCGTCACCCACGACGAGCAGCAGCGGCCGCTGTCCGGGACCGAGGTCCAGGGCATCATCGCCAGCTTTATGGCCTCCGACCCAGTGCTCCCGGCGGACAAGCTCCTCCAGCTGCACTCGCTCAAGGCGGCGCTGCAGTACGATGGCATCGACGGAGAGGCTGCGGGCACGGGCGCCGGGACACAGAGCGAGGAATAACAAGCGTTGCGATGGGAGTCGATGGGAGGCGATGGGGGATAGGAGGAGGAGGATGGAG